TCTTTTCTTGTCTTTTTTCCCCTTTATTATGTTTCTCCAAAGATTTATCATCAGTTGATGCCTAAAGCCTGAAGGCTTGGGCTTTCCATTTCTAGTGCATTCTAAAAAAAGTCAATATGAGCAAATATGTTTGGCAAAGGTGGCACAGCTGCACAAAATCCATAACCTTCACTTTAATGCAAAGTTTGGTTGATGTTTTATTTCTTGTGTGTATTGCAGGTAACTGTTCTGTTGTAGAGGACTTTGAGCTCCAGAGACAGGTCATTTGTGCCCTTAACTCTGTCCTGTATGAGCAGCTTCAATACAAAGGCAATGAGTGTGACTACTACAACCCCCTCAACTCTTATATCCACCAGGTAGACTTTCCAGAAATCCTTTATCTTCAAGGTGTCAAGCTTTTGAATAATTTTCAAATTATTCTTCTTTGTGGAATATTTTCACTTATCTTCTTGGTAATTGTGCAGGTGCTACTACGTCGTACAGGCATTCCCATAAGCCTCTCCGTTCTCTACATGACATTGGCCCAGAGGCTCGGTGTTCAGCTGGAACCCGTCAACTTTCCCAATCACTTCCTGCTGCGCTGGTGCCAGAAACCGACAGGGTACAGCTTTCATTTAAAAAAAAAAAAATTCAGATCCAGTTACTGACTGAAATTTAAGCTGTCATGCATGAAGTTTATGGAAGGGAAAGCATGGAGGAGAGGAATAAATAATCAAGATCAAAGCATCCATTTTCAGGGTTTATGCACACATAAATCAGTAAATCAACACCCATCAGCATTCATCAGCATCAGCTTTAGGAAGTGGGAGTTTACAGTTTGTGATGTTCATTTATTTTTTTATCTTTCATTTGATTTAAGCTACCACAGACAGTCATTTGCCATTGATTTCCCTTGCTGAGGTTACCTGTAATAGACACAAATGATAAACGGCGATGGCTGCATAGCAGAGGTATGAAATCCAGCTACAGTAGTTAGAACAACCATTCCTAATGGGAGTTTGGAGTATGTTAAATGTATGCCAGTGTGTTTTAACAGACACATAGGAACATGTGTAAACACATTTCTGCACCTTACTCAGAGATAAGGACAAACAATTTTTTTAACTTCCTTTAACATTCTTAAAACTCCTAAGCTAATTATCATTTATGTTTTATAAAATTATACAAAGCTAAAGCTGGTGGCAAAGTGTGTGTTTAATGTGAAATGTGTATTTCTATGACATTAATGGAATTTCTTTTTCCTGCAGGACTGAGGATATCTATGACTTTGTCTACATTGATGCCTTTGGAAAAGGCAAGCAGCTGACAGCAAAGGAGTGCGAGTACCTCATCGGCCACCAGGTTACAGCAGATTACTACAGTGCCATAAGCACCACAGAGGTGCTGCTTAGGATGGTGGGAAACCTGCTTAACATCGGCAAGAGAGGGTAAGGGAAATTGAACACCTGACTCTACAATCGCTACAATCGCTTAGAGATAAATGGAGGGCGGATCAGTGGATGATAAAACAAAGAGGCTAATCAAGAATGTTGCTCTAAATTCCTGCTTATCTTTTTGTTTTATGATCTGACAAAAATAATTATGGCATTAAACGGTCTCAAAGCAAAATAAATGATTAAAATGGATTTGATGTCTGTCAGATGAATAAATTAATAGCATCTTCTCTTTACTATTTTATTTCTATTTTTTTTTTCTTTTTTTTCCCCCCTTGTCAGTGAGGGCAATGAAAAATCCTACCAGCTACTCCGAGACTCTCTGGACCTCTACCTCACAATCAACCCAGATAATGTGCAGTATTTGCTGCTGCAGGCACGCCTCTACTTCCACCTGGGAATCTGGCCAGAAAAGGTCAGAATAGCCAACTATGTGTTAAAAATAAGTCTTGATTTTTAGACTACTGAAAGTAGTTTTTGTAGTGTTACTATACTGGAATTGTTTTCCTCATTCTCTACCTAAATTAAGTGTTAAATATTATAAAAAAAACAATTAACATTGTACTGCTCTTGCACAATAGTTTAATATGTAACATAATGTGCAGCTGCATAGGACAGCTATTCTCAGAGGTCATATATCTGACATAAACACATTGTGGATTGACTTTTATCCTTTTCCCAGGTGCTTGACATCCTGCAGCATATTCAGGCACTGGATCCCTCCCAGCACGGAGCGGTGGGTTACTTGGTGCAACATACGCTGGAGCACATCCAGCACAAGAAACACCCTGTGACACCCGAGGTGAAGAGGCGTAGTGCTCCAGAACACCTGGAAGTCCAGTATTCAGTCGGCCTTATTATGAAACACAAGCGGTAGGTCACACTGTAATGTCATTCGCCATGCATCATACATGACAAAACCTAAAATCCTTTCTGATCTTTCTCTCTGATCATACCCTGTATATTTGATCACCTGAGCATTTTGGCTCTTTTCCACCTGTTTTATCAGCTCTGGGTATAACTGTGTGATCTATGGATGGGACCCTAAATGTACAATGAGTCCAGAGTGGATCTCCACCATGAGGGTCCATCAGCTGTCCAATGGGGCTAATCAGCCTTTCTACAATGTACTCGTGCAGGATGGGACTTGCCGCTATGCAGCACAAGGTATGAATCATATACAATAGTGTGGTGATGGTAACTATTAACATCCCCTGTGTACAGGTTGTGTGATTGAAAACAAAAATGTGTAAATAATGTATATACTTGGTAAATTCCTTCACCTTCAAGGTGGCATATAGCTGTTTGTTTGGTTTTGTTGGCACTTGTAATACACATTAATGGACAGAGTCTGATCAGTGCTCTACGTATGGCTTATTTACTGAGTAAAAAACACACAACAGTGGCAGTACAGATTGAAAGTTTGTAGTTTTACTAACTTGGGGTATGTGGGTCTGCTCTGACTTTGAGTGGGAATTCCAGGTTAAAGGGGCATTCCACAAAAACAATCAGACTAGGAACGCTGAATTTCCAACTTTAGACTTGTTTAAGAATGCAGCATTAGCCAGTCTCTCTGTACTGCTCTGGTGCTTATTCCACTTTCCAGAAATGAACAGGACTTTAAGCTGTGATGTGAAAATAAATTTAATTTGACATTATCTTGATGAACTTAATTTTTCATTACACAATTTTGACATATTATTTTGTAATTGTCCTCTGTGCAGCGCCACAGTGGATTTTAAAATCAATCAATCAGATGTGATTCGTGTCACCCTTTCAGCTTCAATTTATAAGGTTTAACAAGTATTGCATTATTTTAAATACCCATTTTTTTTGTACATAGATGCCCATTTTCAGAGGCTCAAAAGTAATTACTCCATTTACTAACATTCAGTTTCATGGCCAGACAAGGTCAGTTCCCCCAATATTGCATAAGAAATTCAGCAGATAAAGGATTTGGGGCTAATTTTAAGTGTTAAACTTGCATTTGTTAGCTGTTCACTGGCACTCTGAAGAGGCCGATAAGGATGTAGAGGCTATCGTTGGGCTAAAAGGACAGATTACACCGTGCCAGAGAACCTCTAGAGCAGGCTGCAAAGTTCTGGGGAAAAATGGATACAATGTTGATGACGTTCTCTGGACAGATGAAACCAAGATGAATTTATACCAGAATGATGGGAAGGGAAAAGCATGGAGAGGGGAAAAGAACAGCTCATGATCCAAAGCATACCACATCAGTTGTCAAACATGTATGGCTGCCAGTAAAAATGTGTCACTAGTATTTATTGAATACTGACAGCTGTGGTTTACAGAGGTAAAATTACAAAAACACAAGTCCTTGTTCAAATACTTATGGACATGTCACATATACTCAGTCCCACCTGAAGTATGTTTTTCCTTTGTTCTCCAGAGAACCTGGAGCCTCACTCAGCCCCCCTGGAGATTGGCCACCCAGAGGTGGGTCGCTACTTCTCCGAGTTTGCTGACACCTACTATGTTGCCAATGAAGAACTGCAGACACGATACCCAGAGGACATGGATGAAACCTTGTGTACAGTCCGGGAGTTCTATCACAGACTGACACCCAGTGCTGGGAACCAAGAAGAAGCTCCTACCACAGACCAAAACAACCAACAAGCCATGTCTATGTAGCAAGCAGCGCTGTCTAGCACTCTGCCAACCCAGGCTAACCGCTTACAGGTCACAATTAACTTAGCTGGTGCTTTGTTGTCAAAACCAGAGGGGTATACTATGAAGGAAATTCAAGAAAGCCAGGCTTTTGTTGCCTTAGCTGGCGTAACAGACCCTAAAAACCCAGTTGGAGATGATCGGTACCATGACGGTAGTTGTCAGCGTTCTCTATTAAGCTTTCTGCTTCAAACTCTGTGTGTGCTCACATAAAAGAGGGGAGTTTCACATGACATGCAACTCTTCTTGCATATAAAATGACCCATATGAGTGCTACCCTTTCCATTCAGAGACATTATATGATGATGATTATAAAAGGTGATTAAAATCTATAAGGAAATTTGAAAAATATAACAGTAAAATGCAATACTGTTTACTCACCAGATCAAAGTGAAATCAATTTGACTGAATAGGTATAAAAAAAGTATAAAAGTATAAAAGAAATTATACATTTTCAGTATCACCAAATTAATACATTCACCTTCCTGTGACAATGCAAAGAACCTTTATTCAGTCACTTTAGCAATGTGTGAAAACCTGGCGCTTCCAGATGATTTTCAAACTAAAAACCAGAACATAACCAGCTCCTGACCAGGTTACAAGAACACTACAAGTTACCATGGTGATTTAGCCAGTTAAGACGACCACTTTCATGACACAGAATACTTTATGTGGAAGTAGCTTGCTAAGCCATTGAAATTACTTCGTAGTAGACCCCTCTAGCCGTGTGGAACAGAGAGTTTTTGCTTTGATACATCTGTCCTAATACCCGTGTATTTGTTGTAAAATCAAGGTTCAAATTGTCAGACAATGATGTATGATACTCATTTAGCAGGGATGTATTTTTCACAACCCAAATACCTTCAGAGAGCCAAGTTGATCAAAACCAGAATAATTTAACTTTAGAAACCACTAGATTTAAAGTAAACAATTAAGCGGACAAGTAAATATCAGAATGAGTGTCCACGTGATGCAAATCCCCATTGTCTAAAACCAAGGAATGCTCTTTTACCCACAACTCCACGCATCCAGCACCAGTCTTAAAACCATTTACCCTAAATCCCCAGTACATTGACGCCCAGACGACTAACTTTGTAAATTGACTTTTGCTTTTATTTCTCCGTATTTTAATGGTGACACTCACTTATGAAGGTCTAACTTTCACATTTCTAGTATTTTTTTTCCTGTATATTTACAAGTGAAATAAGTAGGATGCCATGGCTCATCAGTCTTTAATGAAAAAAACAAAAATAAGTGGAACCAATAAGGACACCAACTACTTGAAGCCGAAATGACTGAGTTTTGAGGAGACAAAAAGAATAAAGCGTTCCAGGTTGTAATACTTACTTTCTGACTCATTTCTCTCGCTTAGTGTATTCATTGTTTTCTAGTTCACGACACATCACTAACTACATCTGCGCTAATGAGAAACATGAAGCAGCAGGTGGTTTATCCGCACACTGTGTGGATTTAGGACCTTGAGGACGCCAGACGTTCCCAGGACGCCAGAAGCAAACTACACTTCTAGTGTCTTGCAGAGGGAAGCGGGTTAATATTGCAACACTACAGAAAAGTTCAAACAAAGTATGCGCTCTGACGGAGCGGTGAAGCAGCAAGAATGGGAGCTTCGCAGACGCGCCCCGAGCACAACTACGACGATCTGACTGACAAAAGTGGATGTAAGTAGGAAGATTCTCGTTTGATGCCGTGCACCGTGCTGTTTGAGTTAAGTGCTTCACTTGCATCGTGGAAAGGCTGGTAGCTGTGATACGCGTCGTCGAGGAAACGAAGGGAGACTAGGGATTAACAATTAGTTGATAGCCGTGCCGACCTGTTTTTCTAGTGTGCTGGCTGATATTAAAACCGCTTATCTTAAAGAGGTCTAAATGGTACTTAGCAAAAGTAGGTCAATTTCGGTTTAAGGCGGAAAGAGCAATAACCGCATTTTGTTCCAATGTTTTTCAAACGCCTAGCTATTTTTAAATTAAAAACCTAATCTCAACGGGAAGAAGAGAGGTTGATTGCTTACACGGAGTAGCTGTCAAAGAAATGAGAAGGTCCCATAACTTTGTGTAAATGGGCTCGACATGTGACACATGGTGTGACAGGTGTAATATTTACGTACTTAATATGCAAAAGAGGATCTTTAAAACGATCTAATAGCGATAGTTATGACTAACAGACGCAAGTTTAAAATCAGGTCTACTGTTCAGTGCGATTGTATACATTGTTGGCGCATTGAGGCACTCAACACTTTACCGTCTGTATGTGGAAGAGTGAAATAAACAAGTTAAAACACTAGTAAGTAGAGTTTTGTTTTTTCGTCTTCTTTTTAAAAGGCGAGTCTCCAAGTAGCGGCATGCCAGTCTGATAAACGGGGATTAGATTTGAATCAACTTTATGGCTTTTGTATGTTTGAGACTTTGAACTATTTTATTGCCTTCATTTCTTCAAGGTGCGTCTCTCTCTGGGCTCAGCTGGAGAGCTTTCTGGACTTGAGTTCTGCGCAGTTTGATGAATTGATATGTTTCATTGCACCCACAAGTGTGTGTGCTTTTTGTTGAGCACAATACTACAGATTCTTCTGTTGTTGTTGTTGCCCCCCCTTTTGGCTTTGGCTAATTGGTCCATGAAGTTGAGTGTTTGTTGCACCACCAACAATGACTAACAAACTGGTTTGTAGTCATTGTTGGTGCTTACATGCTCTTGGGAAACGGGGGAAAGGTCACAATAAACAGGGGTGTTGTCCACAATGATTAGAAATTCCAAACTAGTTTGATAAGGCACCAGGTAGAACTAGAAAATCATGCTTAAGGCTTCTGGTATGTGTTTGTAGACCTAAAAAAATGAGTGCTGATTTAAGTAACCATGTGAAATTGCATAAAGGTGTTCAGTTTGTTTGCACTGCCATTAGACTGATAGCAAAGCAGCACCCATACAATTTGATTAAAAACAAACAAAGTTAAGTGAATGTATAATTATAAGCATTACTGTAAAAATCTTCACAAATACATTCACATTGTTGATGTGTGCTTCTTTACAGTTTCACAGGAGCAGATCAAAAATCTTTACCAGAGATTCCAGCAGCTGAGTGGAAATCATGAAAAAATAAGGTAACGTGTCTTGTTACATGGGGGTCAGCTCGCAAGTGGTTTTAATGGAAACACCTGGGCTTTCTTTGGCTGATATAGTAGTATGGCAGTTGCAGAGTGGCAGTTCAGACTCACAATGGAGACGTTGCAGTTGCTGCTAAAAGATGAAATACTGTATGGTCAGGCTGAGGAACTGTGAGGATTTCTGGCTTTTCCAGCACAGACAAAAACAAGTAATGTAATGGTAATACAGACACACACCAAAAGAGAGACATTAGGCAAATATAACATGCAGATAATGATGCATTAGTAATACAGAGCAAACACTTACTGTGCAAACACACCACTTCATATATAGACATGCCACATGATCACAGTGGCCGGGTTTTGGTTCCTTATTTTGAAAAAGAAAGGGGGAACAAATGTTTGTTCTGGAAGGTTGGACAGATAGCACTATTCACACTCATTACCACCCTCTAATGTTATTTAAATTTGTCCAAAAAAAAACAACCCAATCTGACTGTGTAGTAGACTGGAGTATAGTGAACAACAGGTGCCTTGAGTTGACAGGTTGCGATTTGGTACCACATGAATAAAACTGAATTAAACCTTATCCTGTCCCACTGCAGCCGAGATGACCTGGAGCGCATACCGGCCCTGAACAACAACCCAATCAGAAAGCAAATTATTACTGCATTCTTTGATAAAAGGTGAGTACAATCAAATGACACCATATTCTCTCTGTTACCTTTATGGTTAATGTCAAGATGACTGAACTCTTTAATCAGAATCAGTTGTTTACTGTCGACTTCTGTGTGTTTTGGCTGATGAAAACAATAGGCTGAAGAGAACCTAATATGTGGAAGTAACTGTTATTGTTGGGTTCAGTCTTCAGCTAAAAGAACATCCATACACTTTGTGAACACACATTATCCACCTGTTCACATGAAGCAGCAGCTTTGAAAATGAGGGTTTTGTTGCTATTACAAGACAGTTGTTGGCATTTTTAATCACTGTGTCATGCTTTGGAGGGTGGAAAGCAGCAGAACAAACCACAATGAACTGCATAATAAACAAGCTGTCTGTGAATGCATGTGGCTTCTGCTCACAAGCAAACAGCTCTTGTGACAAACTGAATAAGGAAAAAAATGTTTTATTTTCCCACAATATGGAGATATTTTCATCCATTGTATCAAAATGAATAGTTTAGGATTATCATTATTTATAGTTATTCTTTTTTTTTTAACCAGAAAAGGCAGGAAAATGCAGAAATTGCATTGGTTAAAACAAGCCTATACATTGGTTTGTTTTGATTGTGATACAGGAACCAGCATCAGAATGATGTTGGCTCCCTTGACGAGATTGGCTTTGAGCAGTTCCTCATGGTCATGTCCCACTTCCGCCCTGTGAATTCAACAGCGACAGAAGAAGAGAAGGTGACTGTAAGAAAACAAAAGCTTCGCTGTAAGTATCGAGGTGGTTTTGTTTTTTTGTTTTTTTTCCCCCCCCACTGCTGTCTTCACTTCTCTTTGTGTGTATCTCAAGTTTAAATTTTTTTAAAAAGTGTGCCGTGCTTCTGGATAAGACTGTGTGGTGATGCTTACACATAAATGACAACTGAATTCTTCACTGCTTGTCCAGTACTATATTGAGAGCCACAAAGGTATTTATGACCAGACTGGGAATGTTGCCCAGGACAGCCACACAATGTCAAATGTCACAAGTATAAAGGTATGATTCGTCCTATTATAGAAGAGTGAGACACATGAGATTCAAATAAATGCTGACGTGAAATCTGTGGGAGAGCCTTGGACCCAAAACATGGTTGAAGTACAGTTTAAAGGGAAAGAAGGCTTTTTAAAACCAGTTTTTTGGTTTTTTTGGGGGGGGGGGGGGTTGTTTTTGAATCCTTCTAAGCAGTTGTTGTCAGATTTGAATAATGAGTCTACGCATGTAGTTATGCCCCTGTAACCACTCAAATTAGTGTGTGTGTGTGTGTGTGTGTGTGTGTGTGTGTGTGTGTGTGTGTGTGTGTGTGTGTGTGTGTGTGTGTGTGTGTGTGTGTATTGAAATAAATTTGGGATAAATATAGTATCTTATCTCTATAGGAATAGATAATAATTGGTCAGTGTTCCAGTAGGCACTACAGTCTACATTTGTGATTTCTCTTTATTTTGGACTCACTTTCTTTTTAAGCTACTTGTTGTATAGTGGGACAAATGCATATAACACAATGTTAGATGATAAGGAATATTTAACATTTGCAAGTGACAGCAAATTGTGGGTTAGCTGAGTAATTTGTGAGCACAAGTGTGTCTGTAAATGAATTGAGTCATTCCTCAACCTGCAAAATTATCTTTAGCAGTACCGGATTCTAGTGCTTGGTTCTTAGTTTTGCACGGGGGCAAGGAAGCATGACACAGTATGATACCAGAAGAGCTCAAAATGACAGATGCATGATAGGATCCAGGTAGTTGGCCTTCTTGTTCGATCCATGGGTCAAAACCTGAAGCTACAATAGCAGATGTGACTCATGGTTCATACAGGCAATTATTAATTTCTTTTAACTGCCCTAATTTGGTGTGGTCCTGGCATATTCTTTCTGTGTTTCATCATACCTGATGAATGAATGTTTACAGTGTATATTGTGTAAGACTTCTTTGAAGTCTTACAAAAATATGCCCATAAAACTTGACCTTAAAGCTAATTTGTCTCCTGGCTAAATGTCTAATTTGATAAAACATGAACAAATGTAATTTGAAAAGTTTTTTTACTATTCTTGGCAGTTTTATTCCTCTTTAAATTCTAAAGAGAAGAAATGGCATACCACAAACATTTTTAATGTTAACACAACCATGACGAGCAGGAAGGGAGGGATGAATAGAAAGGTAATATAAGTTTCAGTCTCTGACAACCTTAAACTATGGAGGCGTGCAAGTGACTAATGTGACCTCTTGTGTACTCTTGGAACTCCTTTTAAGAATAAATGACATTTAGAATAACAAGAAGAAGGAAAAACAGTTTGCTCTCCAACAGTCAGTTACTTGACATAAAAAGAAAGGAATGCTTTCTGTGTTGTCACCTGTTGTTTCTGAATATTTACTTCCCATGTTTTATTTAAACTTTGGGCAACTTTTAAGTTAGCATAGCCTTCCTACTGTCACACTGATACATTTGTAAAACGGAGACAATGCGACATTAAATCTCAGATCAGCAAAATAGTCAAAATGTCTGGTTATTAGCAGAGAGTAGTTTATGGCTGTTACTAGTAAATTTGTTATGGGGCTACAGTAAATAGTTATAGTACTGTTATTCCAGTATCTTCTTAAGCATACGTCTAATTGCTTCTTCCTCAACTTTCTCTGTGAAATCCTGTGACTTGATGAAAATCTGATAAACCATTTTTCCTTTGTTTGTGTGTTTTATAGTCCTGTTCAACATGCACGACACAGACAATGATGGCATTATTACTCTGGATGAGTACAGGACGGTAAGAGAAATTAACCATGCACACACTAGCATACACAATAGCTGCTGATAAGAAGCCTTAAGTAAAAATTCCAACACAGGAACATTTAAACGGAGGACATAACAAACTTAATTATTGTAAATATTAAAGTCACTTTAATTACTTTAATATAGCTCAAATTATTTATAGAGCATTTTAAAAAATGACATTCATCACAGGCGAAAACAATGTTACACAAACCTTTTTATTACAGTGCTGTAATGTTCAAAGTTCACCTGTGGGTTCAAAATAAGACGGGTAAAGAATAATACTCTATTTAATCAACAATTACATTATCTGTCCTGTCAGTTATGTTGACTGATTTTGTGAACAGTCGACTATTGTGTCACTTTGAATTGTGGGACAGCGTTATCTATTTTCCTATTATAAAGGATGAAGTAATCAAGGGAGATTGTAAGTGAAGCACATTTCTTAATGGTTTATTAATTTAACTAGTGCTTACTATGGCTATGATGTAGCTCCTTGCGTGTAAGAAAATCTGAAGGGCTGGCTTTCACCAGAACTTACAAATGCATTTTTCCTCAGCAGTCCTGATATAGTACGTAAGTGCCCTTGAGGAACTTTTTTTTTAATTATTTGTGTTGACATTTTTTTTTTCTTCAGGGATTAAGATAACCAGACTAGGTCATATACTCTACTGAAACCCAACTGGCCCTTGTTTTAAACACTAGGCAGCATTATAAAACAATGCCACCTGCACATAACGTGTATGTACTTTAAGTATTTTGTATTAAAAGGCTGGACTGTGGAAATGTTGATGACTAAATGTACATCTCAGGTTTAAAAACAGAAATCTCCTTGAAATTATATTTAAGACGACTCATCAGCTAATGTTGCAAAAGATTTAAAATGCCTTGCACTGAAAGACTGACTGAACCAGTCTGTACACACCCACATGGCCCTCAAACAGCATTATCAGCCAAAGCACATAAAGACATATAACATACAGTACTCTTCAGCCATCTTCACCGTTAATTTTCGTGTGAAAATAACATGGTAGGCACCTGCTGTGACACATACGCGATTAACTGCAAACCAACTGCAGAACAAGTTAGAGTTTAATAGCTCAAAAGACTGTTCATACTTGCAAGAATTAACCCAGATGTTAAGTTGGGTTAAAGCAAGATTTACAGATAATGTTTTATCACAAAGACTGTTAATATAAATCAAAGTGGATTTTTGGGCACTTAATCGAAGCAAGCTGATTGGCTGCGAATACCATTCTTAAAATATAACAGCTGAGTTTCTTACCTCTGCTGTATTTGGAAATCATCGTGTGGAGTCGACTTTTAATATTCTGTTCACATCCAAGGTGGTAGAGGAGCTGCTGTCTCAAAGCGGAGCCATTGAGACCGAGGTTGCCAGGTCGATAGCAGATGCTGCCATGCTGGAGGTGGCAAGCACAAATGTGCCCCACATGGTAAGAGAACTCACCAAAGCTGAAATGTTACAAGAAATTTGCACATGTGCAGCGAAGTAACACAGTCACTCGCCTCATTCCAGGCCCCGGATGATTTCTATGAAGGAATCACATTTGAGCATTTTGAACAGGTTTGCACTTACCTTATATATGCAGATATATCTATATATTAGATTTAGATGGATAAATATATTTTCAATGTAAGAAAAACATTTTGTTTTCTGCCCACAGATTTTAAAAGGCATTGAAATGGAGTCCAGGATGTCCATTCGCTTTTTGGACATGAACTCCGCAACAATGCGTTGTGGGAAATTAAGCTCTTGATTGGGTTGTTGTAAGGAAATATTTATGTTGCTGCTGTTTTAGCACAGTGTCACCAGTCGTAAAAAGGAATGAAGCCAGCCACTTCTGATATAAATAAATATATAAAGACAAACAAATATATTTTTGAACAGGAAAAAATGCTAAATAAATGTAACACACTGCTGTAAGTTCATTTTCATGCCAGTTTTAAAGACTGCATGTCACTTGTGCCTTTCTAGAGTTCTTCAGTTAAGCTTTAAGAATTCAGTTTTTATGTTTTATTATCTGAAAAATAGCTAGTATGAACGAATGCAGTGAGGTTTACATTTAGGCTTTGGTCACAACACACACCAGTCTCTCAGCACTACAACTATTCTACAAGCTCCACTGCAGCCAGCAGGTAATGTGAGGGTTTCTTTATACTAGAGAGAATCTTCACTTTAGCTTAACTCAGTGGCTACTCTGGCATTCATGGGTCAACTGTTATGGCATCCAAAGTGAGACGCTGCAGGCACACACCATTTCCTCTGTAGCTCCAGAATAGCTCTTTTTGCTGTGTTCCTCTGTTTAACCAACCACTACTGATGTACTGTAGAAAATTGCACTATTTTTGATTACTGGTATATGGGAGAGTGTACTTTCTCTAAGGTGAAATCTGACATCCCTCTCAATTAATTCTATTAAACAAAATAAATGTGAAGAAAAATGCTTGTGTACATTTTTTTTGTTTTAATAGGAAAAAATATTCAAATGATTTGCATATAGTAAATGAGGTAAAAATGACTTTATTCCTGTGATGTTGGACTACATCAAACCCAGTGTTTCATCGGGCAGCTAGATTCAACAATAACATAGAGATACCTATGCAACAGTTATATACAATACACCGACACTACTACATTTTAATAGCCTTGATTTGATCAGGATGATGAAAGAGGACCTGTTAAATAAAACGACAGTTTAAAGGTTCAAACTGATAAATGTTACTGTCTTTTCAATTGCAGTCAATTAAGTCCATTTGCAGTCTGGAAAACTGCGTGTCATTGGGACGGATGGGAACCAGACAGCCTGTCGTAAGGCACTGCTAGGCTGATGTTGTAGTTGTAGCCATAAGACTCTATGTAGTCAGACCTGCAGATGGGCAGGATGTGATCCTGTGACAGGGCGTCCTCAGAGAAGTCATAGTGGCAGATGACTCCTCTGTGTCTGAAGTTTAGAAAAACAAAACATTGACATCAGTAACTGTTAGGTTTTGTATTGTTGATTGTCATTTATGCTTAGACTTTGCTTTAGAAGACTGAGACAAAACGGCAGACATGCAGTTTAGCTAATTTATCCCCTAAATGCATCATCTCCAGAAAATCATAAATGACTGTTTTTAAATGTGGATATGGGATAACAATCACTTAATGATTGTTTGTGTGTGTTCAGGGCAGACTGTAGCTTTCTGAAGAAATGCTTATCCAAGCAACATGAATGAGTGACTGAAGGAAGCCAAAGACGTTACAAAAACATGTCTAGCATCTCTTTGTGACTAAACATTGTAAAACGGTTTGTCCAGTTGTCATTTTTTCCATACCCATTCAAAAGGCCTGTACGAATTAAATTTGTTAGTTTGTGACTACATTAACAGCGAATCTCCTCACAAAAATAGCCCAACAAACGTGCTTGTCTGAGCGACGCAGCCACACAGCAGTCATTTTTGGGGAGATGCTGGTAACACGCTTTAGCTCAAATGTGAAAAATGCTCATCCTAACAAAGACACAGGGTGTGTGTGTGTGTGTGTCCACTAATAGACCTACCAAGAACAGACAGAAGCATAGGCAGACAGATTTCTCAAATTACAGGTAAGGTGATGAGTAAGGTCTTACTAAAAGAAGGTACTGTTGTTCTGTACAAAAACATGATCTGGTTACAGTGAGACTACCTTCTTGCTAATGAAGGTCCTCAGCAACCTGTTGAAAAACAGGTTGCTGAGGACTCAGAAATGACAGCTGTATCGCTTTTCTCAAAAGGAATCAACCATCAATCCCTCCATTCTTTTCTGCTTGTCCTTATCAGGGTTGCATAGTGGCTGGAGCCTATCCCAGCTTTTGTACAAGAGACTTATAGGAGGTAGAAGAATAGAAGAGATCCAGGCAACAACAAAAAAAAGTGTAGGAGGGAGATCACGACCTGCGATGAGCTGTTAGGTCATCATCTGTGATGCAAGCTCCCCGTGGCGACTTGTCATCAGGGATGTTGGCTGTTACCAGAGTGCTGGTGTTGAAGCGTACATGCCTTACAGGATGCCTGCAGCAAAGATGGATAACACCTTGAATATTAAATATATAAATCGCATTCTTGCCAGCATGTGTTTTGCTGATGGATGTATCCACTACTGTAGCATCTACAAAAGATACCAGTTAAGATGCTGAATGTTTTCTATGCGGTGAAGGCGCCACAAAAATGACAGTTACTGCTTGGAGATGTGAGTGTGATACTAAACTGACTCCACAATATTGTCTTAAGCAATTTAATTTACATGAAATAAAAACATTTATGTGAGAAGATTACGTTAACTGTGGCACAAGAAACTGAAATGAGAAGAAAACAGAGTAATCATAATCACTGGTTAAATGTGTTCGAATGAGGAACTACATTTACTACAATGTTAAAGTCAAATACCATACTCATAATGTGATACAGCAGAAATAACATGTTTAAAAAACAATTTTAGTGTTTCTGACAGTTTGTACTGAAAACAGTCCTACCTGTTGTGCATCTCCCATAGCTTTGCTCCCATCCTCATCTCCCAGACACACACCAATCCCTCGCCTCCGCCGCTCACAATCTTCCAGTCATCCGCTTGCACAGAGGTGACCCCCAAGTGGTGGGCGTACAGAGATGCGACAGAAGAGCCAGATCTTATGTCGAACACCCTCACCCTGAGACATAGTAAGGAAAAACCAAAACTAATATTAAGTTATTGAGAGAAAAGTGCTTACTTTTGTCATAAAACTACAGTTATTTAAGTCAGACATCCTTCACAGGCCACTTTATTGTTGGTATCCTTGATAAAACTCCCCTGACGATCCAGCGTAAGACCCAAAGAAAAATAAGTGAAGTAAGTACAATAGCACTCTAGCTAATTTTGGATTTTTTTTAACAAAAGTGGACATCTAATACCAAGGGAGAGCTACAGTTTATCAAAGAGTGCATTCATTTGCAGACAAAAGGACTCTATTCTCACTTCTTGAAGGAAACGTTTCAGCACACATGGCCCACTCCAAACTTTAGTCCCAGCTTGATTTGTTCTCGCATCTGGACAACTATTTCATAATTTGATTCAACAAACCAAGATTATAGTAGTTATTTAAACATGACTACCAACTAATAAGTAACTGGAATACAGACAGAAATCCAAAACCAACTAAACAAGGATCTAAACAATATTCAAGAACGAAGCAAAAAAAGAAAACACAAAGGGCGAGCAAAACACCCACATGCACAAATGTGGAATGAAAAGGCTGCTGTTGTGCAGATACTGTAGAAAATAAGAAGGAATTCAAAGTGTATAAATATATTTGACAGCACATATAGGGAGTGTATATTGTGCACTGTAAATAAACAGTTCATATGTCGAACGTGACAGAATGAACACGACAAAGGATACTTTCTCTGATCCATTTTCAAACACGTATCTTTGTCACCTCATGTTTTTAATAAAGTGTAGCAAGTTTTACTTCATTTGTTGTACTTTTGTTCACTTTTGTATTCAACGTTACCGTTTTTCTCTTTTAAAGTTTGACAAGGATTTTCTTTTAATCTTTTCTATGTTTCTCTGATCCTTTCTGTGTTAAAATAAGCTTTTATGATGATATGATAATTATTATTAATTTGCTGGTATATCTGAGGGATGAAAAGCAATAAGAGCAGGCTTTTTACTCTCCAGGTTTTATCAGCAACATGAGCCCAGGGGACCCTCAGCTCCATCTGTTGTCATTGTGGGTTTATTGCAGCTGAAAGCATCCAGGACATGACTCTATCCAGGCCCAACCTTCTTCCAAGACCTCATTACCATAATCAAATTCACTTTGGGGACTCAGACAGATTTCATTTTCCCTTCCAAACTTTTTAAAAGAATCAGCCTTAAATAGCTAAATGGGCACTGAGGACTTGTTGTCTGCAGTTAGTTCTGCCTGTTTAGTGGCATTACGTGATGGAAGCACACGTTTAAACAATGAGGACTGACCATTACTGCCAGACCTTGGGGAACCATAAATCTAAAGCAGAAGGCGGCTCTGTCTTCAGTTAACTGTCACTGGCTAGGCTCTTCTTCATTAATCAAGAGGAGCTCTCCCTAATACGAGATGTGTGGGAGAAGTGCAGTTAACCCCTGAAAAGCTATTTACCTAACGCTGGAAGAAGACATCAATCATTGCGCCCTGAGAGAGACAACCGATTCAGTGGTGTGATTGGATGATTGCACCGGTCTTGTAGTTTTAGCTAAGCTTGATATTCCGTTAAAATGGATGTCTTAAAAACTGGGAATAACTAATTTTGGCTCCTACAGTTGAGTAACAGTGTTCAAATAATTTGTTAAGTTCATTTTGTTTTTTTTCCATTCAAAGTTATGGGTTAAGTATTAAATGATCAACAATAAGATGGAGATTTAAGTGGAATAAACCAAATTCCACCACAATTTTTTTTAAAAATTGATCGATTTTGGAGTAATATAATGTGCACAACTGTGGATGCTCCCCTTAGCGTAGAATAAACTGCTAGTTTGTGTTGCGTGCCAGATAATGCTGTGCCACGTATAGCCTGTGCACCGAAAATGTTGTAGCAAAAATATTCATTTGCATATGCAGTGGGCAACACGATCTCCAACTAAACCCATATTTTCTTGTGCGTTTCTCGAGCAATTTTTTATTCAATTGAAAGCCTGCTATTTTTGGATTGAAATATGCATCTGTGGTTTGTGAAAAAAGCATGCCACAAAGCAAAAATCACTTAGGTTTTCGTATCTGATGTAAAGTGCTGTTGTTGATGTCCATTAGTCTTTGATTATGGAAAACACAGGGACATTCATTTTTTCAGAAAGATTGATGGAAAAAAGGCTAAATAAGTGATTGCATTCTGTTACAGAGGCGAGCCCAGACATGACGTAAGGACATCAAATTTCTTTCTTTTGTTTCGAGACTAAGCATGCTAGCATTTTCTAATTAGCACAAAGTATAGCTGAGAGTGATGTTAATCCTATTAGGATTTATTTATTTATTTATTCTTGTGGGAAACAAATGGCGGTTTGGAATTTAATGCCAAATGAAAAATATTTCATTGAAAACCACAAATATCAACCGCATTATTTCTCTAGAAGAAAAGTTCAAGGACCACAAAAGAAAGTAAATACAGTTTTGGTCAGAAGTTTACAAGCACTCATCATGGGCATGACTGTCGTGTTAATTTGGAGCTTTTAGTGCATTGTGCATCTGTAATCCACATACTGTCTAAAGTATACTTGCTCAAGTAAATGTCCAGTAGCAAGTTGCACCTTGACCAGGTGATTTTGGTAGTGATCAACAAGCTCCTTCATTCATAATTCAGGCTGGATCCTTCACCACTCTAGGTAGAATTGGAAGAAGTTATTTAAATTGGTTGGTTTCCTCGCATAGACTCGACTTTTAAGCACAGTCCAAAAATATCAGTACTGTTGAGGTCAGAGCTTTGGGCGGGTCATTAGCTTAGTGTTATCCTGTTTAGTCCATTCCAAAACCTTCCTAACTTGTATATCTACAGTTCTCCTTCTTAGACCTTCCTTGGACTTTCCCTTTGTCCTCAAAAGATTTAAGTGAATATATGTATTTAAGTACATGGATAATTTTGACCGCGTTTGCAAAAGAGAAAATCCAAAATATTCAAAATTCAGGCTTATACACCCAAGTCTTCTTTTTTTAAAAAGATTATTAAAGATGCATGCTGTACAATCGCTCTACCCTGAAAAATCAACAGTTTAAAGAAATCATTACAAGCATATGTAAATGTCTGGTCACAACAGTGTCTGTGAAATATTTTGGTCCAAACCATTCAATAAAACCTTAACTGTTTCACTGTATGTCAGAGATGTTCCTGGTTAGAATGGACCTCTGTAGGTCAGCATGATAAGCCCATGTATAATCTATCAAACTTCAAACTGGCATAGCTGTTCATGAAGCCGTGCCACAAAACATTTGATTGAAGGATAAGTTTTCCAGTAAAACGGTCTCAAAGCTGAACACAATATGTGCAGTCCTTCTTAACTGTAACAGTACTCATTATTTCTTCAATTTCTAAATATATGTAATATTTCCCTTTGTTACATTGTTCCTGTTTACACAAATATGGCAAGGTTTTTCCCGACAGCCATCATTTGGACTCCTCATGTGCTCCTTGGATCTCGCAAAAAACAAAGGGACAAAACTCATTTGGACAAAAAGAAGGGATGCATTAGGCTCTGGCCTTAAGCCACCCTGTTGAAGGGCCAAGATTTCAGACTGTCCCTCAGTTTCCCAATTTCCATTTGTCCTCGGCTGTGCGCTGCATCAGCTGGGGCCAAAGTGGAAGAGCCAACCTGGTGTGTGTACCTCTCTGGACAAAATCTGATCAGAAAGTCCAAGAGGAAATCACTGAATTATTCATTCAAAGGGTGCTGTTGAATATTACTATGAAAATCACAATTCTGTGACACTTGACAAAAGATCTTTAGTGGAGCATTTCCTGCTTTTGTATGAATGTCAGGAGTCATAACTAGTAAGAAGAGGGGGAAAAAAATAGAACCTAAACAATACGATGTGGTCTGTCTTTTGCTGTCAGCCAACTACTTAACAGCCAGATGGATTTGGTGCTGAATAGAAACAGCGGGGGCAGCTTTGGACAAAGACACGCCAGGGATTTTTTTCTTTCCTGCCAGCTCATGCACTGTAGCACCACTAACAAGTAGAGAATGGCTCTTTTATGTGTCCTTTTCTCAACTGGAGAGCCAGGTTAGTAAGTGTGTCTACATGAATGAAGAGAATCAAGATAGCCAAATTTTTCTCTTCTATAGTATCCCAGGTACTGGAGGACAAAGACAATGAAAAGCGAGATATTTGTCTATTTAAGACAAAGAACAGAACATCACTCTTCTAAAAAACTGTTAATGAATAAATTTTCATCTCAAAAAGCTTTTCAAAGCCTTGTTTTTCAACATAAAAGGTTGTACTCTAAAAAATTCACAAATTTAATCAAGCCACGTCTTTCACACATTTTCAAAACATCTGTTATCCACTTCAAGTAACCTTAGCTTTCCAGCCTTCTTCATCATCAGGTGTCGCTTTGAGAAAACAATTTCACAGGCACACTCCTTTTAGCTTGCATTCTTGGCTCAGGTTTCTGATATTATGCACGATTTTACATCTGTATGTGTGTTTTTGTGTCCTACCTCCTGTCTTTGTTCCCACACACCAGCAGATGAGGAGAGCTGTCTCTCAGGTTGATGCAAGTGAAATCTCCCGGTGAGTTGCCGACAGAAACTGTCGGTTTACGCGTCTCCAGGCTGTAGATGTGGATCTGAAATTTGAGACAAACATTACTCTTTTCATATATGACAGTTAGTCAACTTCCAAGACTGTCACCACATGCATAAACCGTACAGCAGATTTTAGCTCTCAATATAAGACACTACAGTGGAAGTGTGAAACCAAATCAACCGAAATAACAGCATCCTACTGAAAAACTAGAAATACAACAAAAAGCTCCTAAAACCAGCAAGCATGCCCAGCTGAGTGTCGCCAGGGAATATATAAAAACTGCATAAGGGTGCATTGTCAGTGGGTTGCACTGTTACAGAGACAGTTAAAAAGAATATATTGTATATAACAACTTTAACTGTTTTTATCGGTGTTAATCATCATCTAGTTATATATGCTAATAAAATTTTGTGTAAAAAGTGTTACAATTCATAGATTATCTGATCTGCGCACACACAGTCAATAAGGCTACAAACATTTTCCTGTTACCCAACAATGGCTGCTTCATTTTGCATCTAATTTAAGTGCAGCAATGAAAGCACAGGTGAATAACTATTGTAATAGTTTAAGTGCTGGGATTTTCAAGAGATATTCAAACACACATTACTATGTTTATCTCCATTAAAATATTGTTTTTAAACTTTAATCACAAATCTCCTACAAATCTCCTACAATGTTACAGGAAATTGACCAAAAATCAGAAAGTTCAAATAGCTAAAGCCTGAATCACAATGAATGATGCTTAGATCATTCTGATCCACTTTGTTTTCCTCAAATAAATTATACACACACACACACACACACACACACACACACACACACACACATACACACACACACACACACACACACAATATGTAACTACACCTCAAAGTAAAACTTGTGATACTGGATAGACGGTAATACTGCACTAACTTACTGTACAATTGACAATTACAGGTAACGGCAAACACCCTTGGCCAATTATGTGAATGCATGAAGATGAACTGAGGGGGGAAAAAAAGACCTGAAGGAAAACTTCAATTACAGCCTTTCCTGCTTTTGGCTTGATGACGGCAATAAACTTTCCTCATACAAGTTACAATGATGTCATCTGGAGCTGGCCTAATTGGTCAATTAGCGGCTGGTGTTTTCTCATCCAAACGAGACAGAACAAACAGGATAACCGCCAGGCAAAATTGTCTTTGAATAATTAAAACGACAAAGAAATTAAAGCGAGAAGGGAGGGAGAGAACGAAAGAGGGCCAAAAGGAAAGGAGGGATAGAAAAGGACAGACAGAGAAAGCGAGCGAGAGAGAGAGAGGGAGGGGGGTAGAGAGACAGCAGGAAACATAAAAGAAGTTTCAAAAAAGGAGAAAGATGATGTAAGCCTTGAGGAGGTGCCAGCAGTTTTTGTGTGTCCCTTATTTGGGCCAAGCAGAGCTTTAATTGTGCACCACCCCGGGGCAAAACCCAAATCACACCGGACTTTGAAATGACAGCTTGATAGGATTTGGACAGGAGAAAAGAGGGAGTACCATGAATTGAGAAAGGAGGGGGGGGCACAAAGCCTGCTGTTCACAATGAATCACTGCAGATTCTGGAAGATACTTCTATTAAATATCTGCCTACCTCACCCACTAAAATTATCGCTGAGGGAGGCAAAGGAGCTGTTTAGTGATAATATTACAGGCAGTTAAAAGAAAGCAGCAGAGAAAGGATAATCGTATGGCGACAGAGAAGCTGTTAGGTTAATGCATTAGATGAATCTCCAGTGAGGCTTCCAAACAAAAGCAGCTCTAATAGTTGCTTGTATTGGGATGTTTATGTAATTACTCTGTATGCTTTTAAAAAGATGAAAAGCTTAGCAATTACTACTACATCTCAAAGAAAATCTTTTATGCTTTGATAATCTGTACAAAAGCGCAGAAACTGGCTTGGTGTGTCATATCATAGACCAGCAATGGGAAATCATCCTGTGACATGGAAACTCAACCTTCTGTTGGTTTTTGTTCCAACAAAAGAATCCACCGGTTTAAAAAAAACCTACAGACTGCGGGCTTTTTTACTGGACCACACCCTTTTGTTTGGATTCAGCTCTATATTTGCTTTAAATATACGGACAGACAGATGTGAGCGCATCGGATGAAACGCATATTGTTAGGTTTGTTCCAGCCAACACTTTCTAAGACTTGCACTTTACATTTCACTTTGTGAACACTTACAGTGTCGTACAGAGGGTTGGGATTGAGGCTGAATTCTCTATGGAAAAACAAAAAATTTACATTTATACGTCAGATGTCGCGCCATGCTGCTCTTTTTAGATTTGCATCCTTACAGAATATTTACTTAATCATGCACAGGTGACTGAAAATTGCTATTGGGCTCTTTTAAAAACTTTATTATTATTATTATTATTATTTACCTGGGAAGGAACCCATTTCAGGTTTTATTGAGCAATTCATCCCTAATGATCTGATTTCTGTCCTGACAGATTAGTAGTTCTCTATATAAATATAGAAAACCCACATTTGTACATGCTGTACAAACACAGCCCATCTAACCAGCCCTCTGAACTTTGGGCAACAAGCAGATGACAGGTTTTCAGACAGCACTTGAGCTCAGCGGTAGATCCACTGCAGAGGATTGATAGTTTGCCAGTGAAGAAGCCAGCCTGTTCTGAATGCAGTGCCACAAGCAGGGCAGATGCCAGGGTGCCCCTAGTCCAATGGCAAGGGGAAGACTAGTAGTAATGAGGACCTGGAGAGTAGCTTCAACCACACATGCAGAGACACACACACAAACGAGGGAGGGGAGATTTACAAAAAAAAGAAAGAAAGAAAAAAGTGCAAGCTAAAAGCTGTTGCAAGCCAACGTGTGAGAGATAATCTCTGATGTGATCGACACAAAACAAACTTTGATTTTCAAACAAAACTTCAATAAAGTCACACAGCGAGTTCTAGTCAGCTCAACAGAAACGTGGCAGCACGGTTAGTTTTATCTGGGTCAAAATGCTGTAAATTGAAATACTTCACTCTTCTGTCTGGAAAAAAAGGTGTTACATGACTTCCTTGGATGCCACCTCCATGTATCTTAACAGATTTTAATGAACCATATGTTTTCTTACTAAAGGCATAACTAATAGCTGCAGCCAAGTTGTGCTTTGTCTTCTTCACGGTATGAAAATTGCTGATAGAAGCGTGACAGGAGTGACAGACAAGTTAATTAAATTTGTAAGATATTTTAATTAGTCATGCCAATCATGAATTGGCATAATTGAGATGGGATACCAAAGACCACATGTATCTGATCTGCGAGTGAAATTAATCAGATCTAAAAGGCAGTGCATACTGGGAGAGGAACCTTTGATTTTCATTTTTAACCAGCTTTAAAATTTTAACCAATTTTAAAGCTGAAGATAAAAAATATGATCTCAGTTGGACTGTCTGAGACTAGCTGTGTTTACGGAATAATGTTAGAGCTGGGTGGGGGGTTTTAGAATCAGAGGCAATCCCAACAATGTACAGTACTCGGGATAACACTTTAGGAGTAGGGCGCCAACTACAGCCTGAACGATCCACTTAGCTGTCTATAATTTTTCCAGTAAATATTTTGTCACACTGTCTATGAACACCAGTAAGTTAGGAAACAAATTTCATATCTGGTGCTATCTGATTTACAGACCCCCACATCCCACAAGAAAAACTGATAGTAATCAATTAAAAATGAAGCAAAAAGAGACAAAAACAGATAATTCTCACTCTGGAAAAGCAAGAAGCAAAGAATGTTTTCAGTTATAAAACCAATTTCCTCTTTTATCAAGCTACAAATATTTTTTCTACAAATCAGCTCAAAATTAAATACAGAAACAGCAAAAACAGCACGTTTGAGACTGCATCCATGGATCCATCCGTATTAGCTTGTGATATTTTCTTGAGAACATTAAGACGATGTTTCCCAGTTTTTCTTGTTTCAGTTAAAGAGTTTTGTGAAGATATGAAAGGAAATTTCTAATTTTGCCTCAGCTTCGAGGGCAAAAAATACTTCCAAAATTCCAACTAAAAAAAAAGTTAACCACTTTCCAGTTGGATCGAGCTCTACCCCAGGTAAATATTTTCACCCAACTCTGGCTCGAATTTTGAAAAATTCTGTTAGCAATTAGACAAACAAACAGAAATATATTGAATCAATCAGATAACCTTCTTGGTTGGTGGATTTAATTAAGTGATACAAAAGTGAGACCCTTAAAATAACAAATGCTTACCTAAATGTCAGTCTCTATACTATTTAAGAGGATCATCATATATTAAGGTTTCACTGCTAGTCTCTCTTTGGTCCACTATGTGGTGCTTTAGTGCTGTCGCTGAAAATGTGCTGCAGCGTTCCAGCTGTGATTTCTAACAGGAATGATGTCAGTGTAGTATCTTTGCCAAAAAGCAATAAGTCACCAACAAACTGGTGTGTGCACTCACACACACAGTGGGTATTTGCAGCTCTACAGCTACCACTCCACCACCACATTTAATTGAGACTGCCTTCTTTGAATAAGCAGTTTACTTGAATCTTTATCATCACAGAAATACATGATTTAGATGAAGTGAACCTGACCACATAATAACTGCTGACTAGTTGTCCCCAGATCCCAAAAGATGAGTTTGTCTCATGGCTATTTGTAGTCTCTAAGTAATGGCTTAAGAGTCAATTAGGTACATGGAGTCCTTAGAAACACAGTATTATTAGAAGCAAACAGATACAGATCAAGGAACAACACTCCACAAAAGGTGCTCCTAAAGCTCTAGTAATTAAGAGCAGAGGTCCAGAGAGGGTTTGCATTATTTAGGCTAGCTATTTATGCTATAAACTAATCCCCTACAGGCACATGACATTATTTCTAAAGGGACCCAGGGGGTCTAAAGGGACCTCAAGTAATAGTGATCACACCCGCAAGAAAGTTTAGACACAGAGCAGAGCACCTAAAAACCAGAAGCAGTTGTAAATATAGACCAGATTTAAAAAGGGAAAATGAATCTATTCCCCAAAATGTTGTTCTTTTTTTTCTAAGAGAAGATTGGTATTTCAGCTACAAGCCAGTGATTAAAACTGACACTGGCCTAAAGCCAAAACTTTTGTCCTCACTGCTTTTCACTCAGTAAATTATATTTGTGCAACAAAACATGCATCATTCCATTTAAACAAACCAAATTATTTACCCCGTACAACTTCCCATTTTTTCATTACGCACCTGCTGTGAGCACAGCTGACCTTGTTAACTCTGATGGAAACCTTCCATTTCAATTAGCGAGGTCAAGGTAGCTTTTTATACATTTAAAATCCAGCTGCAGAGTCCAGAGGCCTTCCATCTAGTTGGTCGACGTTCAAGGTTTTGTTTAGGTTTATTTGTGTTTCACAGTATTTTCAATTCCACCCACCACAAAACCTTGATACAGCTCCATCAATTCCATTAACATACAAACACTAGATTACAATCCCACATACATACATACTGGAGTGCCCTTCATAAAGGCTTAAATAATCATCATAACAGCATGTAAATTAGTGGCCAAAAAAAAACAAAACTGTGAATAATCACTTTATTCTCTCCCAGAAAAAAAAAATGCATATGTCAAGTGAAGAGTTGCAGATGTACCATTATAACAACGTGCTTTATGTTGACTTTTATAGCTTTTACTGAGAGCTTGTTTTTTTTGTGTGTGTGTGTGTGTGTGTGTGTGTGTGTGTGTGTGTGTGTGTGTGTGTGTGTGTGTGTGTGTGTGTGTGTTTTTAATGTCTTGGTGGGGACCAAAATCTCAAATTTACTACACTGGTGGGGACCAACAGCCCACATGTGGACCAAAATCCAGGTGCTTATGGGGTTGAAGGCATTTTTCACACTCAAAATGTGGTTTTAGTGTCAGGGTTACAATTGGGTTATGGTTAGGTTTAGGGTAAGGCATTCATTTTTGATGGTTAGGGTTAGGATAAGCAGCTAGGAAAAGCATTATGTCAATGAGATGTCCCCACTAACTAGCAACACCTGATATGTGTGCATGTGTGAGCATGCATAAGCTTTACAAAAACAAAAATGTTACATGTGTTTTTATTTTTAAATGTCATAATCATTGTTAATGCTGGTATATCACAAAACCCCTAGTTTTAATAAAATAATTCACTTTCCCAATAAAAAAATCCATTTATTATTGAGTAAATGGATTTTACACCAGACTAGAAAATGGTTCATTTGCCACTATTAGCAGACGAATAATTCCCTGTTCATACTACATCATCATAGTCAAAAACTGGACAATCATGGCCAGCTGTACTGTTTATTGCTGATTTCATCCACGAGCAGACCTGAAGCTTTGCAGTGCTTTATAAACATTAAGGCCTACTCAACTTTGATTTTTCATGTGCCATATACATCACATAGCAAAAAAGTGCCAGGGTTCAGTTTTAGGTTTTCTGAAGAAACTGTGTAATTACACTGATTAAATTAAGGTACTTTTAAAACCTATGTGTTCATTTTCTATGGGAACTGTACACAGAAGCTGAACCCACCTTGTTCCCTCCGTCATGCATGGCCCAGCCTGTGCGCTTCACCCCAAATGCAACATGGGATTCTGAGGCATCCAAGCAGGTAACAGGATGACCATAGACTGAGTGGAGCATCAATGACTCCTCCTCCCGAGGGTCCAACAGGTACATGGACTCTCCTGCTGCCAGAGCTGCCAACGGACATTGCTGGTCCCTACCTGGGACTAAAGTCATGCTCTCTACCTGTGAGATTAGACAGGATGGAGCACAATTTTTTTTTACATATACATCAGTATAGAAAGTGACTTTATTAAGTATATAACTGCATTTTAGTACATTACTTGCACACTTATGTACAAGTCATTTAATCACTGCACTTTTTAATTCTTTGATCATGTCACCTTGGTCTTTTTTGTCCTTCCCTACCTGCCACATAAATGCCTACTACTATGCCTGTGAACTCAAACTACCAGGATACTAAATAAATAACCAGTACTTTAAGTGATTTCCTCCACAGTCCAAACCCCAACGAAAGCCAATTTCTAACTTGATATTCAGAGAAAAGTTGAAAGCAACAGTCTATTAATTAACATAATTGCACATTGAAATGTGTCATCTGATAAAAATGAAGAACTCTGACTCACAGTCTTGGGTAGCTGAGTCTGGCATACTGTCCTCCAGTAGCCACAGTCTTTTGCGCAGTCAAGCCGAACATCTGATCCAGTGGCAGAGATCAGGACAGGACTGTCAGGGCTTAGGGACAGAACTTGGATCCTCCCTGGAGTCTGGTAGTGGTAGATGGGTTCCCCACCTGTCTCTGTGCTCCACAGGTCTACACAGCCTATCCCAAAAACAGTCCCCAAGTCTTTTACTGTATGCATTTAATGTATGCATTTATCACATAAGGAAAAATGATAAACAAAGGGCATCATGTACAGAAATTACAAGTGCATCTAACCATAGGTTTCTAGGCTTGATAAAGAAAAGTTGATTGAAAAGACTAATGATTGCCTTGCTTTTGATTAGAAGTTATACATAGTGTGTATTTGGTGTGGGCAATGCTTTGCCCAAAAGATACCACTGCATTACACATATACACACAAACACTGACCATCTTCATACGCAGCAGCAGCCAGCGTGCCGTTGACCTGGACGTGACTAACATGTGGTCTCGGCTCAGTGTTAGCAGACAGACTATTGGCCTTCAGGTACGAAGCCGTTGAGTCCCAGTGGAGGGTATCCCACAGCCTCACATCACCAGACGTGTACCTTAAATCCAAACACGCAAAAAGTTCATCAGTCTAAGGAAAGTTTTGTTGACCTTTTTTTTTTTTACAGCACGTTGAAAAGTTTCCACCTTCGAGAACACCTGACGTCACCCTCTCACCGCTGAATCATTTCCCCTTTCACACCCTCCTCCTTTGCTCACTCTGACTTGTTATTTTGTTTTCATCCTTTGTTACACGATCTTTCGACAATTACGATGGTGTTGTTTGGGCGACACAATAACAAACATTTCGCCCCATTTTCCAGGACAGCTTGCCCACCACGAGTTTTCAGTTCCTTTTTAAATTTTTTATACATCACAGCTCTAAAACTTCTGTCTTACTACAAATGAAGTAATATTTGATCATTTATTTAAAAGTATACTTTCACTGAGACTGGGATATGCACACATACACAGTGATACACACTGGACCTTGATTTTACTTTGGGTTTAAATATTGATTTTATTTGTTCTGATGACATTTTTATCTCTGATCATCACTGTATTCGCCGCTGTATTCATAAATTCCTCGACAGCGGGACTTTTTTAGATGCTTTTAATGTAAATCCATCCCCTCAAAGCGATGCCGATTTCTTAAGAGATCTATTTAATAAGCATTGTCTTTCCATTTTGGATGAAATTTGTCCAGTTAAAATGAGACAAGCTTCTGTTTTTAGTCCTCACCTTGGCTAAATGACAATATTTCCTGCTTAAATCGTGATTGTCGCAAAGCTGAGCACTTGTGGAAGAAAACTCATTTAAATGCTCATCTTCTTTACTTAAAGGATCTGTTAGTTTCTTTTAACAATGCAATTAGAGATGCGTGGGCTGCCTATTTCTCTTATCTAGTTGCAAAGAGTAGAGGTAATCCTAAGGTGTTATTTGACACTATTACTGTATTGACATTATTCCTCCTGCTCCACCTGCTGCCCCATTTATTCAAATGAAGACTGTGAAAGTTTCCTTCCTTCTAGAAAAAATTAGTAATATAGGAAATTATTTTTCCCTATCAGCTTATGCACTGTCTGATCCTACTCTAGCTTGGTCTGTTATTTTAGAACATTTTCTACCCATTTCACTACCCGAGCTGGTAAAAATAGATATCTCAATGAAAGAATCATCCTGTTCGCTTGACTGTTTGCCTGCATCGTTATTCAAAAATGTCTTCCATTCCACTGGTCCCTGTGTGCTCACCATAATTAACACCTCACTGACATCTGGTAAAGTCCCTGCTTATTTTAGAAATGCTGGTATACAACCCCTTTTAAAAAAAACCTAAGTTAGACCTTTTCTTACCAGCAGTTACAGTTTTAGACAAACATAATATTCTTAACAAACTTCAGTCTGGCTTTCTATAACCCATTCTACTGAAACAGCCCTTCTTAGGGTCTCCAATGATATTTTGATGCAAAACGAAGGAGGAAAATGTTCTGTTTTGCTGATGTTGGATCTCACGTCGGCCTTTGACACCGTTGACCATCACATCCTACTTGAAAGACTAAAATACTGGGTCGGTGTATCTGGATCTGCCTTAGAGTGGTTTTTATCATATCTGTATGAATGTTACTTTTTTGTGGTAGTTTCTAAATACAGGCCATCTTCGACGTCCCTGTACTATGGTGTGCCACAAGGCTCTGTGCTGGGGCCTTTATTGTTCTTAATATATCTACTTCCCCTCCAGCATGTTTTGAGCCCCTTTGAGGACATCTGTTACCACTGCTACGCAGACAATATCCAGTTATACATTTCTTTTAAGTCCCAAGATGTTTATAAGCTGCAGATTCTGAATGAGTGCTTAGATTCCATTAAAGTTTGGATGGCTGACAACTTCCTCCAACTTATAGAAGGAAAGACTGAAGTCCTTGTATGTTCTCCTGATAGACACGTACCTAAGATAATGAATGCTCTTGGTCCCCTTGCAACATTTGTGAAATCGTCTATCAGGTATCTAGGGGCAATCTTTGACCCAGCTTTCACTTCGGTGATCTCTGTTTCGGTCCTGCTTTTATCACTAAAGAAACATTTCTAAACTAAGCCCTATTGTATCTCGTACTGAACTGAAGATTGTCGTTTATACTTTCATTTCATCAAGACTACTGTAATTTACTGTTTAAGTGTTTAAACAGACTTTTTGGAGCGTCTACAGATTTTTCAAAACACTGCAGCAAGACTTCTGACCAAAACAGCTGCACTGGCTCCCCATTGAATTCAGAGTCCATTTTAACATTCTGGTGCTCTTCATGGACAAGCTCCTGCCTACATCATTGAACTTCTACAGCCCTATGTCCCTAGCAGGTCACTGTAGGTCATGTAAGCAGGGTCTACTTGTCATTCATTATACAATGCTGAGAACTAAGGGAGACAGAGCTTTTGCCACTGTGGCTCCCAGACTGTGGAACTCATACCCACCGAGCTTAAGATCTCTGGACTCAGTAGCTTCTTTTAAAAAAACAAATAAAAACACTTTTTTTAGAATTGCATTTAGTTAACTGTTGTCTGTTTTGTTTTATACTTTGTTGTCGTTGTGTGAAGCACTTTGTGATCTTTTATCTAGAAAGGTGCTATATAAATAAAGTTTTAGCTTACCTTATAATACATAGAGATGCATTATATATTTAAAAAAATGAATAATAAGAAGAAGAATATGCATGTACGATTTCAGACACATTAAAACAAAACTAATTCAGACCATGTATGAAGTTTGGCTTGATAATTAATTGGTATGCAATTTACAAATTTACAAATATTAGAGAAATTCTCACATTTAAAAACTTTTAATTTGGTCAATTGGCTGACAAATTACTTTACCAGTTTTTCTTCAAAAGTTTTAATGAAATACATTTTTTATCTATCAACAAACTAATTAATAACCCTAGACCAGATGCTAAAATTAAGCTTAAATTTGATTTCGGTGATTTTTTTTCCTTCACTTTTAGTCTTTCAAGGAAAAAAAAACAAAAAAAGGTTTTCTTTCATTTTCTTTCATACATTTGATGCTGTCTGCCTAACTCGGGGCCAAACCAATCTAACTTATCGGGAATCCAATCAATGGGTCACACCAATGTAGACCTCAGGGATTAAATTAACATTAGTTACACAAAAGTGAATTTATTTGCAAGGATGATTAATTGATCATAAAATACCTCATGCAGCTCACTCAAAAATAAAATTTCTAGTAGCACAATTTCTTCAACAGATTGGAACATGACCTTCTGTTCATGTCATGTCATTTCACCAGACTCCAAGTTAGTGGAAAAGCCCTAACTATATCCCATCACACCTAAAACTCTCAAACCTTCCTCTTTCCTGTTTTTTTCTTTTTCTTTTTTCGCCTAAGCCAATGAGCTCTCTCTACAGGAGACAGCAAACTGCCAAAGTTCCCACCTCCGCGGATACCATCATGTCTGAACAAGTGTGCAGTCGCAGTGTGTCATGCAGTCACAGCAAGTGTGACACAGGGTGTTCATGCGAGCACCCGTTATTTGCATGCATGACTTTGTTAGCGGGGTTTGGCAGAGAGTAGACAATTGGGACACACACTTTGACTTAATTGGTACATCAGCACAATGCCAACTATCAACAGGAGGAAGATGATGTTGAATCATATCCAAGGAACTCGTCAAAAACTTTGTACAAGAAGAGTTGTGCACTGATTACTGCAATCTTCACGCAAGCCTCTGGAGATCCGGCCTCTATGTTATTGTGTGACTTTAAGAACTGTTGGGTTAACGAGACAGCATCTTATGTTGCTTTTTAAGTGCCAAATCTCATTTCACTGGTTTTCTAATAAGATTTAGTGGAGACAATTGAATCACTTCTGATTACTCTTAACGGCCATTGATTCCTTTCTAGATAAACAAATTCAAGTAGTTGAATTACCTTAGTTGAATTAACTTTTAATATAATGGGAAAAGTATTGATATTGTTAATTTGTTAATAGCAGTAGTAAGAAAAAGAACAATTTAACAGCATGTTAACATTGTGCAAGGTGCCTTATTTCATAAATGCAATTTTCGTTGTTTTATGTGTCTTACATGTGCTTTTTATCAGTGGGACACAGCAGGACTGAGGGGACTCTAATCACATCACTCTAAAGAGATGCTCCAAATTTCTGAGGCCTTATTGGGTCCCTTTGGCCACTCACAATCAATCACTGTCTCAGCCAACTAGTTCAAAGCAGTTGCAGTTTATTTAAACTGCAATTTATTTAACCCTTCCCTCACCATAGGACCATAAAGACACTCGTTTTGACTGAATCACACCAGTCACTAAATTCCAGAGTACTCAGTACATTATCATGGCTCTTTTAACTTGGCCTTTATTTTCATCTTCATCTTCATCATCAAAAGAAATGGAAATGGAAAAGGAATTAGAAGACGGCACATAGAACGTCCACTAACAGTTTAGCCCCCTGGCAACTAACCCTATGGGAGGCTTTAAGGCTTTTTTGTAAATGTCAGTGCTGTGAGCTATACGAATGATAATTGTGGACATCACACTCATGTGGGCCAATGACATGTGACTGAATGTGGCAATACATTTGGATACTTAAGGCATCCGTCTGTGCACGTTCTTTAGTCTCAAAATCTTTTGCACCACTTCAACTCCACCCTCTTTCTCTGAAGCTTCTCAAAATTTGGGGTGGTGGTGGTGAATGTCAGCAAAGTGAAAAACTGATCTCAACTGTAAAAATGGAACAATAAACGATATTTGATAAGTACTGACTTACGTGTTAATTTTTGGTAACAATGTTAGAAAATCATTTATTTACACTGTTAACTATCACATGTTCCAAATCTTTGACCAGAAAATTATTACCAGCTTATAGTCTTAAATTCACCGCCTGTCTCATCCCATGAAATTGAAGTCACTTAAGTGTTACTGCAAGTACATTTCTAACTGCTTCACTTGATTCTTCAATTGACTTTAAATGAATTATCCCCCTAATAAGGGAAAACCAAATGTGTTGGATTGTCAGTAACCACTGCAATAAGACATATAGTCATACATGTTTAATTAAACACCCAGTAAAGAATCAGAAAGGTTATGATCAAGATTAATTTACACCAAGACACCTGACAAGAAAAAGAGACAGAAGCACAAGGCAGAAGAATTGAGTATATGAGGAGTCAACATTACAGTTAACATCGTTACTAATCGGCTGTCAGAAGCATCCTATATGCATCCTTGATACTCACCCAGCTAAGACGAAGTTGTCATAGGAGCTGACGTCACAGAGCACCTTCCCCAACTCGAACTGCAGCTGGCTGATGGATCCCACTCGATTCTAGGTGAAAATTATAGGCTGGCTGAAAACTGATATATTTTATTAGATGAGAGACGCGCAGCTGGTCTACTGTCAGTTCTGCACTAATATCAGTCTGAGAAATACAGTAACAATTAGTATTTCCCAATGAAGTGAAGCAGTGATGCTTTACAAAAGAAAGCTTGTAAGGGCCTTGCTGTATAGTGTCCATGTTCTTCTGCCTGTGCGGGTTTTTCTCTGGCTACCTCACACATATTTTGAAGGTAGGTGCAAGTGTGAGTGCATGTCTGTCTGTTAGTTTTACCGATACAATTAGGGTAAGTCGATGTCCCAGTTTATGTATGACAGCACAGGATTTTCATCCTCTGTCCCAGTATCACAAATTGACATAATGTCCCACATTTTAATGGGCCCCAGTTTTGAATAGTAAGTGCTTCAGGAGACGCTTTCCCAAAGTCTGCCTTTTTTCTGAGAAAGCAGGAAAGGCAGTTATCTAGGTCAACTTGTCACCAGCTTTTCCAGTTGTGCAAAGTCCAGTGAGGAAATGCAGTGAAAATGAAATCTTTGTGAATCTGTAGGTCATTCAAAGACTGTCTTTTGACTTATTCTTCAATTTTGCACAGCTGCTGGATGGAAGCATCTGATTCGCCACAGTAAAGTAGTTCAAGCTCACCTTCCAGTTGAAGCGCACCGTTTTAGAAGAGTTCCTGCAGTCTCGCAGCATACTCTTCCAGCAGGGCGAGTCAGACATGCTGGCATTCTGATGGTAACCATCCCTCACGCACAACTTGAACCACAGAACAGAGTCCTCTGCAAGGACTCTCCATGCCCTGCTCACCTGAGAGAAGATTAAACCGTGTAACTGTGGATTGAGTCAGCATACATTAAGAGCTTGCATCACTTATTTCTATTTAACAAGCTCGGCTGACTGCCAAATGGACTCGTCACATGCGGGTCTGGCACACAAAATGTAATTTATTAATCTGTACCAAATTAAGTCATGAAAGGCAAATAAAGCTGCCCTAAGCAATTCAGTATGTGTTGCTACAAATGAAGAACTTAACTTTTTAAATCACAACACGTCGCTATTGTAAAGCTGGGGTGCGGTTTTGGCCATGAAGATTTCTGGTCCCTGTGCAACAAAATAATTTGTTTTAGCCTCAGAGTTGTTTTAATTTGAATCACTCCCAGATTGTAACGCTTGTCAGTGTGCAACTGTTCTTCTAAAGTAGAGGTTCAAAAACCCTTTTTAGAATGTGAAAGATAGATACTTGCAATAACCCCTTGATGTTATCCACTCGCTCACTTAAGCAAGACTTAAGTCACCAAGTAGTTCAATAAAATAATGATTTATTTCTCTGTTGCCCATTTAAACACATTTTAGAGCTCTATTTTCACAAGAAAATAGCGAAGAATACTCACGAGTAACCAGATAAGCATATGTCCATTCCTGTCCCATCAATTGGACAATTTATTTTATTTTGAAGTGACTGCCAAAACAATGTCCTATTTATGTAAACACTTTTTTCATCAAATGAATCCCTTCTGTTGGCTGAAAACTACAGTACCAGAGTTTTCCATCAGTGAATACAAGGCCTTGCAACGTCGTCTTGTGAAAAACCTGATTAACCTCTAAGATTCATTCTGGAGCTGGTGGATGAAAACACTGACCTGCACCCCTGAGGTGACGTTTGTCCAGCCTCTTACTCAGACTGCTTACCTGGGCACATCGGCCTAGTTCTGCACAGTTGAGATATTGGAATATCTTCAAAGCTATCTCATACGGCAACTCAATATCAAAGAAGGGAATGTCATTGACTTCATTCTGCAAAACAGATCATTAAACACACATTATATACCCAGCTGACTGTGGTCAAGTACCATCTGACGGTGTGCATTATCGCTCTCATACCAGATCCTGAATGAGTTGGTCTACCAGCTCTTCTTCTTTCTTGACCTTTCCCTGAGGCTGCTGCTGCAAGGATGAGCTGCAGACATTAGTCATGTTATGATATTGCCTCTTTCTCCTGTTCCTCTCCTCCTCAATTCTGTCCAACAGAGGGCTGGTCCTTCCATCCAGCAAACTACTTGCAATGGACACATACTGAGGCTGATCCTCTGTCTCTGCGGCAGCAGCAAGAGCAGCAGGTTTTCCCCCTACACGAACATGCTCCGTGCAACCACCTTCTTCTGGCTTTGAATAACTACCGGCCTTGTTAAGATTTTTTAAGTCTCTCTGGCCTAACTGATCATCAATATCCCGGGAAGAGGAAGGCGCACAAACCAGTCGTTGCTCCCCCTTTTTACACGATAACTCTCGTTTCCAACGCTCCCTGAACGCAGCAAGATCGTTCTCTGCCATATTCTTCTGTCATCGCTGAAAATCTAACTTTTTTTTCAACATTACAAAGTAAAATTTTGTAGTTTTACAGACGAGTTAAGAATAGAAACAGAACGACACCGACAAAAAACAAGCACGTCCTCCTGTATAAATAGTCCGAAGAGGGAAAGCGAGCAAATGTGCAAAAGTTCCGCCAAACTTTTAATTCCGCATTTTTATTATAGACGCGTCGATTGCAGGGGGAGATATATTGTATTTGTGGGCAATGTTTTGGCAATTTGTTTTTATACAAAATTTATTATTTCGTATTACATAGTTATGTGTACAGGATGATCACATTTTAGAAAAAGTGCAATTTTTATTAGAACTTTAAAAGAATTTAAGCGTGCTAATGCAGAAAACTCCCCAAGATAAAACCAAACAGGAGCGATCCAAGAGTTAATCATTGCATCGCTCTTTTGGGAAAAGATGATGTAAACCCCACACCATGTGACACTGTAATGAATAATACAGTAGTGAGAGAGGTGGGGGAGAAAGGGGGGACGCAAACACTGTAAAGGTTTGCTGAGAAAAAGAGAAGGAGGGTCCTGTATCCTCAAGACTTAAACTGAGTAGACCGTGCGTTTTGCCGCGAAGACGAGATGTGCTGGCTGCCGATAGACCATCCTCTGCTGCTTCCAGGTGACTCAACCTGCAGCTCCCGTCGACCCTCTCCGTGCTCCGTGGCTCAACTGCTCGCGTCGCGCCTACGAAGGATCGGGGATAAGCTGGAGAAAAGCTGGGCGACCGAGCGGGCGGACGTCGGCTACAGCTGCGGGGACAGAGGGACGGTGGTGGTAAGCGGACGGGGTCACCTGAAGGAGGGCTTCCTGTGCGTTGCGCTGCACTTCACCGTGCTCGTGCTGTTCGTCGCGAGGCGACACCTGTAGGGCGCGAGGCTGCCTCACCAGCAACAGGTGAGTAAACAGAGTCACGTCACCTGTTCGAGCGCGAAACCACTAAGCCTATCTCAGATTTGGATGAAAATTCATTTAGGCATATTTGTCAAATTGAAACACACACACACACTAAATAAATACAAAAAAGCTTTTTTTGACGCAGGCCAAGAAAACATTTTCTTTACTACTTCCATCAACTTTTCTTGGCCTTTCCCAAATGAAATAATCAATTTTAAGATATAAAAATACATTTAACCTCTCAATATTTGCACAACAACTTTCATCAAGGTACCATAAAAACTGGATAAATAAATTTGGCGATAAAAATGTTTTAAGTATTAGGTAATTATTAAGAGTCGCACTTCTACAGAAAACGAGATGAAATAAATATTAGGATAGAACTGATGCCATTCTCTACATTTCATTTTCAGACGGTGCTAAATAGAAATTATAGCTCTACTGCAGGTTTCACGTTTCTTATAATGCGTCTCAATAAAGTGCGTGTATCTCTATCTCATCATAGACGGTGCCTTTAAGATTATGCATGAGGGAAAGCAACGGGCTCTCATCATTTGCACTTAAAGCAAAGGATGGAGGAGAGTCGGAGGACGCGGTGCAGGAAGAAGTGTGCACAGCGGGTGGAAAAGCGACAAACGAGGAAGCGGGTTAAATTTGTGTTTCAGGAACGGAACTGCGTTTCTGACTATTCTGCATGTGGCATGAAGACTAACTCAGGTCGGATATGGATGCACTATACCGAGCTGAGACGACACCAGCAGCCCTGCAGTCAGTCAGCGGCTATATCTACCCCTACGTGACTCTCCAATTCTGTCATCCCATCTACAAGCCGGTGATGTAATCTTCCCCTGGTAGAGTGGAGGGAAAAGCTTACTAATAGTACGCCTTTAAAATTTTCACCTCCCACAATGCGAGTGCATCAGTGAAAACTGGGGTTAAACTCATTAGACCTTCTGTATCTAGGCTACAATTAGTGCAGCAATCCTTAATAATGCACTGAAATGTTTCCAAGCTTCATAATGCACTGTACCTTTTCTTTTTTTTAAACATAAGCTATAAGTGTAAGCATGTAAATAATGAGAGTGGTTTTTACAGGTGTTTTCTACAGTGTTTAGATGATGTTTACACATTACTCTGCTTTTTTTTTAATCTGTTGGGGGGAGTGTTATGTGGCTTGTTATTATAAAGAAAACTCCTAGGAAGCTATGCTGTTATGCTGTCTGTGATTTCTGCAAAAAAGAAAAAAGCTTTTCCCCCCCTAGTATATTTAATGTAATGTGGGTAAAATTCCTGAAACGGTCTTTTATAAAGTGTATGGTCTTTATACTTTTAAAACATTTCATATGAATTTTTAGCAGTCCTGATAATAAAAAAACGTTTACTGAGATATGTTCTTTGTGTCATTGCATTTAGACAAGAAATACACCTGATATTTGAGCTTAAGTGCTTTATTTCAAAACCAATGATCTCAGTGCTTCACTGCGCATTTTCCATATAGTCCTAGAGTCTATTAAGCAGCCCGAGGAAAATTATTCTAAATAAAATACACAGTAACAACATAAATGAGGAATAACAATGGAAGACAATTTACAGTGTGGACGATTATCAGATATGTGCCTCTGATGTCAGTGACAATGTATGTACTACATATCAACACTTTTACAATGCACCGTTTATGGTCAGGCTACTTAAACGGCACACACCACCTTGTTCCTTATTCAGTATCTATATATGCTTATGTTTTACCAACCACAACATCTTCTACCTAAAGAGTACAAACTGATTTTCCATTAAGAATCATTCTGAGACATTTCATTTTCAAATAAAGTCATTTGTAGAACTAAATCAATACATGTGATGAAATTGTAAAGACAACTCAGAGTGTATATTCAGTCACGTTTTACATTATAACCGCACTTAAAACAAACTTTTATATTAAAAAAAGTCAAATAAAAAGTTACCCATAGATTACAACAGTAGCAAACCATTGAAATTGAGCTCAAGTTTATGTTCCTTTACCACATTGATCATTTCTTTAAACATGTGGCCTCAATCACCAGCTTTATAGGAGATGATTGTTTTTAAATATATTCGATTATGGCCTTCTCAAATGCCTATAAATTTAATGTCCCCAATATATCTTGTATTACCCCAATTATTCCTTGCCTGATTTATATAAGACATTTACAGAAACATCACTGTTTACCTGGCTTCAGAGTACAATCACATATCTTTGGATGCTCATGCTATATTATTAGAACTTAGTAAATTTGGAAGTGAGCTGAGGTGGTGCCATCCTTCCAGCATCTCAGGGTCTCAATGACAGTAGACCGACACAGTGGACACGTTCTCTCACGATCGAACCACAAACACAGGCATTCCTCGCAGAACACGTGCTGCAAAATAACAAAATCTTCATTTATTTGATGGCAGAAGTGTGACACATACATAGCTAGGATATCTTGCTAAAAATACCAATAAATAAGTAAATTTGTCGCTCAAGCTACTCTTGTGAAAACTGCATCTAAAAAAAATGGACATAGTCACCATGAAATCATCACGGGTTAATGAAGCCTCGTTGTGAAACATTGAGCATACTTGACCCTCCATATAAGCACTTCCGAAACCAGATGTCACAACTGCAGGGAACATCTGACTGTGAAACCATGTGACATAACCATGGAAATAACAAAAGTAATAATCACATGTTAGGCTTGTCCTGCATTATTGCTCTTTTGGATAAAGGGGGCTGTAATTTCAAAAATTAACATCAGTCACTGAACCTAGTGACTGAGCCCTTATTAGAGGATCAAGGAATCTAAAAGCTGTTTGTGACCACAGAGCCACCCTCTGCTGGCCATTAGAAAGAATGCAGGTTTGGTTTCAGACCCAGAAACTATGTCCATCTTTTATAGAAGTCTATAACATAATTGTTATTTACAGATGATAACAGAGCAACAAAAGTAGGTCATATTAACTTTTAACCACACCCAAATAACAGTCAGTATATAGTGACATTCAGTGACAACAATTTTGACTTTAAATGAGCCAAATAATTTGCAAAATTTAGATTTATTTTTTTTTTTTACCATTTTGTTACCAGTTAATGAACCCTTACCTGACAGAGAAGTGCAATGGGGTCTCTAAAATCAGCCTGACAAATAGCACAGACATCACCTGCCTCGCTGCACTGCTGACTGCCAGCTCTCACTCCATAACTCTGGATGACATATGCACAAACACACAAAGGAGTGAAATCTTCTGGATAGTCATTTAGATTTTTTATAAATTCTTAAAAAAACAAAAAACAAAACCCACAACTGACCTGGGAGCTGCAGAGCATGACCAAGGCCTTGTGTATTGCAGATATACGTCCGCAGATGTCAAAGGACTGCAAATCCATCAAGATCAAGACAAAGCACAATTATTTAAAAAATAAAAAAAATATGGAATTACAGCATCCGTCAGGATTCCCCATTTCATCCAAAATTAGAAAGGACTTAGTTTACAGACATGCAAACAGATTCACAAGTCCATATTTGGGCACACCGCTGCTTTGAAATGAAAACAAAGAAACAAAAATCTATTTTACATAACTGTTCATTTCAACTTTAAAACAACAAAAATGGATTTCTTTTAGGGGCACACCTCACTAACTTAATTCTTATCTCACTGTCTTTATATGAAATAAAGCCATTACAAATTGATCAAAAGTCCAAATTGTTTCAGTTACACACAAACTAGACCTTTGATAACTTCCTTCACCTACAGCCTTCTGGTGTAAGCTCGTTTCTTTGAAGTTCATTCAACTGTTGCCCAGTCATTCAACACCGTTATGACGACAATGACTCAAAGAAGCATTCATATCAGCATGCTGTTATACTAAAGCAAGCCTTGCTTTGCCTGATTCTGGAAAACACCTGTGTGCTGCAACTTGTACATGGAGTACGCACATCCAGGAGATTACCCACGTAACTCAGTCAAACACCCCCATATTTAAGAACTACAACATCTGAATCACTGTTATATTTAAAGAAAGCAGGTCAATAATTGTAACCACACATTGTAGAATGAATAGTCTCAGAGTGTAAATAATCTTTGCATCATCCATAGACTTGCTCATTCATGTTCCATTAATTTTCACTATTTCTGTTCTCCCACAGAATGTCGTGTCCAACTTTTAGTGAGTCATTGCCCAAGAAAGTCTATTTTCTGAGTTTTGAAGTCTTTTTAAAGGCTGACCTTCCTGTGACCATTGACTAAGTTTTCTGCCTTCTTTCTTCCCCTGTCACGGGTCCATGAGCTGAGGTGCATTCTTACTCTGAAACTAATGTTGCTTAAAAACATCATCATTGTCAAATGTGACAATGCTGGGGTTTTTTGTTTTTTTTTTTCCACCAGTTTTACAGAAATTTGCAGAGGCATTACCTGTCCATACTGGGAACAGCAGACTAAATGGTACTAATGACTTACAATTATTGGGGAGAAAAGAATGGTTGAGGAAAAGTCTGATAATTTTAAATGACCCCTCATCTGGATTCCCCCTCATGCCAAAATTTCCATGATACCAATACATGACTGAAAATAATGACTGAATTTTGATGATTTTTTTGCAAAGGAGCACCACTAAAATTCTACCAGAAGTCTAAAAGTAAGTCTTTAGTGGAAACCTTCCATGCAAAACCTAAAAAAAAAAAAAGAAGGACAAAAGCAATTTTGCCCTCAGGTGCTGAAACCTTGCAGAGGCTGTAGATGATGATGAGTGTAGCTCCCAGGAAGTAACTGTTTGAGGGGTCTTCTCCCATGATGTACTTGTACCACAACTGGATGGGAACGAGGGCTCGAAACAGCTGGCTCAGCTCCTCGATCAGCAGGTAGAACTTACCCTGCACAAACACACACAATATTAAAAACTACATCAATAGCTGAGACTTCAATTATTCAGTGTCAGTGACTATATGTGGCCATGTAAACTGAATGGCAGCACTTTTGAAAAAGAAACAAAAAAGACACATAACACAAGTTTCAAATATAAGGAAAAAATATATATACCCAGTGGAGACAATATGTATTCTTTGTCTGATCCACTCACTAGCTGTCCAAAAAAGCAAAAAGGACTCAGTAGCTTCAGGGCACTCTTCTATCTAGTCGAGAGCAGTGTGGTATTAAAAGCTTAAAACAGCATGCCTCCAGCCCAAATGTGGCCGCTGTCCAGATCTCAGCAGTTTCACAGCAGTACAAGCAATTTCCTCACACTGCAAGGGAAACTGGCAGCGGCTCTTTCCACCTGCTACCCAGTGCCCACATTAAGCTCAGCCCTATGGGGGCTCGCTAGCTATCTTTAAAGGGCCTCCCTTCCGTAATCACAGAGTAGAAATGTACTTCTGTCCCCACTGCCACAAAGTGTGTTAAGTGAATTGGGGACGGTTAAAAGCGGGGGCGAACAAAACGAAGGCAAACTTGATTCCCCGATTGCCCTGGCTTGCATAATGACTTCCTGGATGATAGCTGACAAAGATTGATGACTGTGGGTAAAGAGGCACAAGCAGCTGGGTAGGCAGGGGAAGTAGACCTCTACTAGCTACTAATTCATCTTCCTTATTGTCCCCTCAGTCTGGCATCCCACAGTGCCCATCACGCCCACGTAAAAACTGTCAAATTTAAAGTTTGGAGATGAGCCAGCCAGTGTGAGTAGCAGATACTGCTTGAGTAGTCCTTAGCTTAGCCATTACTGTACATTTTTATCTATAAGACTGGAATCTACATTACTCAGAAAGGATTGACAAACAAAATGTGTAGTCGGTTCTGTCATAGCTTATTCTTACTTCCTTTGACTGGCACATTGTGGGTCATTCTTTTAGGGCTGTTGCAATATCCAATGTTATTTTGGACCTCAAAACAAAAAAGGATGCACTAATATTATCACAATATGAATAAAATAACAGTAATAATAGCGTCACTCAAATTTAGCTATATATAAAATACGAGTGTATGGAGGTGGTAAGAAAGTTACACAAGAAGAACAATTGCAGTGACAGTTACACAGAAACTGCAAGCTGGACAAATCGTATCACTAAAATTAGCTACACAGTTATTCAATTCACCCGAAACATGAATTTACTTTGTTCTATACTGCCTTACATGTAATACAATTTGACTTTGTATGACTGTTCAAACTAAAAAACTTTAACAATGAGATTTAGTTAATAGAACTTACTGGACGCTCCTGTTTGAGTCATTTTTTCCACAGCTACCAAAAGTCTAAAAAGGAAATCTTTCTGGCGTAGGCAGAACAAACATTTAAAATAATTTTTGTGCATTCTTTACCTTCTTTAGTTTATTATTTTTATTTTATTTTTATTATTTTTTCTTAACAGAGCTGCATTTCTGTGCAAAGGTCTTGCGCAAATGCTCACTTCTTTATATTGTTCTTCCAAGGAACCAGCCTTTCTTCTCAGTTTTTTAAAAAAAAAGTGGTCTTCAGCAAAAGTTTTCTGAAGGTCTTTTAAAGGTTTTCTTTGGGCATTGGCAGCTTTGTCGTGCGGTCCAGTCTTTGTACTCGACCATTTTCAGTTGAACACTTTTCTTGTTTTGTTTTTTAAAAGTGTGTGTCCTTAAAAGAAATGAGGAAAAATGAAGGGCAAAAGAAGAAGTAAATGCCCTAAAAATGATCTACAGTAGATTACAGTAGCTGAAAGTCATGTTCTTAAGAAATAGAGTAAAAAAAAATCCAAAGACTCTGTGTCAGGTCTTTGATATGCATACCTGCGATATGCATTTATTTTATAGTAATTTCTCTACTCTTGGGATTTATTAGGTATATCTTATGTATTTAAAATATATTTAACTCCATATTAGCACGACTGAAATTAGAGACAACTTGATAACACTGAAAATACATGTTTAGTAATTACCCATTAAATAAGATTCAAGCAAAAGCAGTTTTATGAGTCTATGCCTTTAAAACATAACCGTCATGGAACTTCTGATCGCATGCCCGCTATTGCTTGTGCAAACTTGTGCTGACTGCAGTGATTATGTGGAATCATTAGTGTATCCACAGCTGGACACAGTAATGAATCCAAAAGGCAGATTATATGACTTCATGGGGTTCAGAACAGACAGCACTGTCTGGCTAAGAATTGATGATATAATTGGGGATTACCAAAAAATTTAACGTGTCCCATCACAACTGTGAAGCTTCAATCCGTGTGTGTATATTTGTGTGTTTGTGAGCGGAGGATACAGGTAATGGTCCAGCTCCAGGGAGGGATGACCTCACCTCTGCAATCCCCTCGAGGGCAAATGAGCTCAGTTGCTGGCTGGTGTGGTTCTGATAGGCCTCTAGGTTTGTTTATCAGTGGAAAATTTAATCCTAATACTTTATAACTCCCCCCTCCTCTACCTCCCATTTAACGCACAAGCACACAACGGGAATACAAGCTGCACCTGTATGGAAATCAAAGTGTGTGTGTGTGTGTGTGTGCGTGCGCATTTGCAGTCATACTTTGTCGCCTCAGGACAGAAAAAAACCACACAAGCAGACACCCGCACTCACAAGGCTCACCTAAGGAGTACCGTTTAAAACCTAATGAATACAAAACAGCTTCACACTGTGACCCTTTAGCACTTTGTTCACTCAGTGGAGTATTTCATCATAGTTTAGCAAATTTTCTTTTTTCACCTCATGAACCGAGCTTAACAACTTTAAGAGTGAGCACCCTGTAACTTGACATGTTGTGAACAAGCATGAATACTGCCTTTTGACAGAAACTTGGCTTAGATGTCTTTCAAGTTTGCTATACAATCTTACAACATATACAACCTGGTATTTCATTAATGAGTTAAAGAGAAAGAAAGGTTTTTGATCAAGTTGTTCTAAATCTTAATAATAATAATTTGCAGTGTGATAATCGAAGAAGAAAAGAATGACATGATCTGGAAAGTAAAGATGCTCAGTTTTGGTAAAAGCCTAATCAAAATTAATCAGTTGTATGGCCAATAATTATAATCTCAATTATTTGATATTTTATGATTTTTCATGAACTTTAACATTTGCATTTGATTCCCTTTTTTTCCAAATACAGGATTTGCTTGGGTTTTAATTAGAAATCACATGAAAAGCAAACGTGAACGTGGTCAAAGACACAAGTCATCTGGTTGTGAGTTTATGACCCTTCCTGCAAAGTCACCTGGCAGTCGCTCCCTGCCTGCAGCCTCCACTGCAGGAGGCCTGCAGATGAAGGCAACAAGACGACCGGGCTGAATGTGCTTGCAAAGCCAGCGTGGTAGCCATGGGGAGAGAGACTGAGAACATAAAGCCAACAAACAACTGACCGCCAAAAGGGGACACTGTGAGAAATCCCCTGAGACCTTGCAACCATTAAATTGCCTTCCACAAGTTTACCTACCGAAATCTTTTATGTCTATTACTGCTTGTTAACGAAATACTCTTTTTCCATCATCTTGGTCTTAAATGAGCTAAATAATGAGTAAAGTTGAACTTTTAGGGAGGAGCAAAAGAGGACTGCTGTCAAGGAAAGGAGTGCGCTTGATTTTAACACAGACAAAATGATTGCTTTACAGTGAAAATCAAGGCAAAGAAGAATTAATTTTTATCTGTTATATCTGTTCACTGCATCACTATCTGATGAAGAAATCTACAACACTCTTACATCACTCTGACCAGACCTGATGACAGAGTAATGAGCACAGAGTTTCAGATTAAAGCCGCTGCCCAGTCACAGTGGAAGGACCTGGTTGAGATGATTTAGCTATCTGACTATTATACCTTCTGGCCACATTCTAAATGAGGTTTTTCAAAAATGTGCAAAATCTGGACGTTTCTATTGGACATCGATCTAAGTGGAAGAAAATTAAAGCAGTGGTCCCCAACCCCCGGGCCACAGACCGGTACCGGTCCATGAGTCGTTTGGTACCGGGCCGCGAGAGTTGATGTTACTCTCAATGTCGTTGGCGCATTTCAGGAGGACGCTGCTAATAAAGTTACACAATTACACAGTGAATTTGCATTTATTATTATTTTTACAAAATGCCACAGTTTTTTGTCTTGGTCGTATCATCCTCGACACCTTAAAGGCCGGTACGTGAAAACATTGTCTGACATTAAACCAGTCTGTGGCACAAAAAAGGTTAGGGACCGCTGAATTAATGGATACTTATTTCTTAATTTACACTTTCACTGAAATCAAAATGTTGTCTTGGTCTCTGTATCTTTTTTTAACATGAAAAACGTGCATTTTCTGTAAAAAGCTCTAGAAAATGAATGAATCTGGATTTCTTACCCTGGATTTGAATGCCAGGAGAATCTTAGGCAGAAAGAGGACAAAGCATTTCAGGATGATGGTGACGTACTTGAGTACAAAATCTGTGATGCCCACTGCCCAGATCAGATCAAAGAAATCAAAGCTGTTGAGGATGGGCTTGGCAAATATGAGGCTAGAAGAGAAAAACAAAATGAATCAACGACTTATTGTCAAGGATGGTGTTGCTTACACTTCGTCTAATGACAAACAACAGCAAGAAAAGATGTCAGAACATGTCAGAAACTCTGTGGAAACAAAACAACAAAACAAACAAAAATACTCACAGGACAAGATCAGACAAGAACGGGAACACTGCCTGAAGGAAATGGAAGTAAAAATAAAACGCACAACATAAAAATGAATGGGGAAAAACCTAAATGTATATGTAGAAAAAATAAAATAAAATGGCAGGCAAAGAAACACAGAACTACTAGAAAAATCTTTGCTGGAACACTACCTGTTGTGCAGCTCTTCATGACTAAATGTGTAGTAGATATACACGATGTTCCCTCCAAGGAACATGATGATCCATAGAGCAACAAATACAGAACGTTCCTCCTGGTAACAGAGACACATAGAGGGATTTCAAGCAACATGCACCATACATTTCTTCTAAATGTGCTGCTGCAAACTAACAGAATGCTTGGTGTGTTATGAGTTTGTTTGAATGTGAAAGAGCATGTATACATAGACATCTCTCACATAAAAAGTCCATTTTAAAAGGTATTTCAGTGATTATACACCAAATTGATTTATGATGTTTAGAATAAGACTTATTCAGCGCGTATATTTTTCTTATGCTCATCAAGACCAACGACGATGATGAATTAATCCACCTACAAAATCTTCTGTCTACCAAAAAATGATTACACTTATTTATTTATTTTTACAATACAGCTCTGTTGTAGTCCAATTGTTATTGAAACGGCACTACGTTACATTTAACACACAATATCGTCAAAAAATGGATCAGTGCATTCTGTTTTAACATCACTAAAAATATTATTTAATAATAATAATTACTAATTTAATATCATTTAACAGTTTTATTAAGTATAATAAAGAGAAATAAGGAACATAATTACATCTTTCAGTAATAATTGCTGTGCTAAAACGTGCTTGGAAAACGTTAGCGTGAATCTGATCTAAGAATAAAATAGCTATACTTCTTGGATTTTGTTCTACCCTTTACCCGTAATGATACTTGGTGCCTTAAAGTGGAATTGGCATAGGCAAACGTGCTGGCCATCCCCACGCATACAGCAATTCCTGCGAGAGAGGTGCAATATCATCAGTGCATGAGAGGTACCGTTAAACAATCTTAGCCACATTAGTCCTCCACAAGCTGAAATACCTAGTTTATGCTGAAAGCAGACTTTAGCCAACAAAATAAGGATGAAGGGGAAGCCTCTCTGTAGCCAGGTGACCACTGCTTTCAACTCAGACAAAGCTGGGGCTGGGGTGGACTGGTCTTCCTGGGCCTCCTCCCTGGAGCTGTGCCTTTCTGAGCCAGCTGCTGTGGTAGCCTGCTGGAGCAGGGACGAGGTCCTATGCTGAAGGGGCTGATGGTGGAAGTGGTGATGGTGATGATGGTGCTGAGGTGGCCGAGGGAGAAAAGGTCCACCCTCTGTGCGATGGGGCCCCCCTTCCTCTCTGGATGATGCTGTCATCTGGATAAAAACTTCAGGGGGAGAGCCCAAGACTAAGCCGGCTGCCTGGAATTGGGCAGAGGAGACAGAGCTGGAGGGGACACCAACAAGGCCGGAGAAGATCTGCTGGGGAGAAGCGGGTGATTCAGGCTTCAGGCAGTCAAACACACCACCCTCATCCAGGCTGCTTTCCGATCCCAGAGTTTGGCTTCGGCTCCTAAATGGAGAAAAATTGCACGTAGTATAGTATGCAGTCTTTGAATAATCATCAGCATCTTAATCTGTGTAGTGTGTTCTTCAATTATCAGAAAACCTCTGGGGACAAAGATGCGTTTTTCTTTTACTCCAAGTCACAGATATTAAATTGAGACTGATGATAAAACTTGATGAGTTTGGCTTTCGGTTGCAGTTTTTCTTAAACAGGGGTTAAATGAATGAAATGAAGAAGCCTAAAGCTCCCTCTTCAGAGCCACGTCCTCTAGCTCTTCTGCTGGGGACACTGAGACATTCCCAAGCCAGCTCAGAGACATAATCTCTTGAGCGTACCCTGGGTCTTCCCCAAGGCCTCCTCACAGTAGGGGATGCCCCAAACACCTCACCCAGGAGGCATTCAGGTGGTCCAGATGTCAGATGCCCAAACAACTTCAACTGATTCATTCATTGCAGAGGAGTAAAAGCTTTATTCTGAGTTCCTCCTGTATGACCGAGGTCTTTAGTATGTCTCTAAAGGCCGGCCTGAGCGCCATTCATTTCCGCTGCCAGTATGTTGCTCACTGAATTATTGAACTAAACGCGATTGGAGCTCCAATTTTTTATTCTGGCAAAATGAAATGATGCTGGTCTATAACTCCTTTTGTTTTGTGCTGAGAGTAATTAAGAGTTATAAGGCAACAAATGGAGGAAGGCCAAACTCAAAGTGTTGCAACAATGTTGGAAAGCACATATAACCTACAATTGCAAATATGTGGCCTTGCCAAAACTACCAAGAAAGCATACAGGCGGTGCAGGCAGAAGGGGTGACAAAAGCATCTGTGCATTTGTGCAGCACCTCCTTTCCCCACCTTTCAGAGGGCATGCCATCCGTGTTGCTGCTGTGTCTCCTCTGCATGGCATACCGATCATCACCACATGGTCCAGTCCTGTAAACGCACAAATCCACAGTATCATCACCAGTATGTGATTCACAGAAGTGACCAGAAATATAAACCACTTTACCTGAATTAATGCGGTGTACTGGACTACAGCTCTTGTCATGGTTGTTGTAAATGGTTAGCTAGACAGCTGCTGCTGCTGCCCAGACGATCCGCTCGGGAAACTTCCGGTGTGGCGTCACTAAGACCGCCATCTACCAATCAGCACCTTCTTTCCGACCACACTACATCCGTGCTGGGGATTTGTTTTGCTGATGCTGGATGTCAGATTTTGCTGAAAAAAAATCCCACCGTTTCTTCTTACTAGACATAATTTTGGACATGATCGAATTATTATCTACAGAGGAGACGAAGAAGCGTTATTAAACAGCGTCATAGCTTATTGGTTATCGCTCCTCATTATTTATCTAGCAACACCGAGAGCAGACGGCGCTAGCTAGCAGGCTAACAAAGCTGGCATTTACAGTGAAACACTTAGCTTGCATGTCCAGCGCGTAATTCGGTAGTTTCAAAACATTATATTTAAAGGTTGCTATTGTGAGTTTAAGAGTTAAAACATGGGTTAGCTAGAGTTAGCTATTTTCCGTCTATGTCCTATATTTGCATTTTTACCACCAACTGAGCTAGCTTTACATTATTTACAGTTAGCCTTTTCATATTCCTGAAAATTGAAGACAGCCAGAGAACTGCTATCCGTGGAGGTTTGATGTGTTGGGCTGTCACTTGCATTTCCCCAAAGCAAGCCATGCTATGATGGTGCTACGGCGGCTACTGAGAAAGCGCTGGGTGCTGGGAGTTGTCTTTGGACTCTCCCTCATCTACTTTCTGACCAGCACACTCAAACAGGTACAGAAACTCACACTGAGATAAGTCGATTACAGAAAAAAACATGCAAGAGGAAAAAAAGATCTAGTCACTTTCTTTTTTCTTTGCTTTGTAAAAACAAAAAAACACACTACATGCCAATTCTAAGTAGGAAACCAAACATACACGCATTAGTAGGGAGCTGTATATCCAAGCTTCTACCTTGTCCAAATAACTATTCTTCTGAATAATCACAATTTGTGGCATTATTTTTTGAAAGTGTAGCTGGGTCTAATATTACAGACTTTTACCAGCATCTAAACAATAATTTATGCCCACTTTTTTGATAGATTTCTAAATGAAAATGTTTGTGCTTTCTGTTTTGTGTGTGTATGTGTTCCTCAAGCTTGGGTCCTCTACCAGCAGCCCGAGAATGTGAGGGCTCTGATCTTAGCTGTTCCTATGACTGCACTCTTCTGGACAGGCCTCTGATGGTCAGCCTGCAGTCTGCTGGAGCCACTATTCAATTTTGGGGCTTACAGTTCGTATCACTGGGGCCACTTGACTTTTCCTTCCACGTCTGCTTCAGTTGTTCCTTCAGCTTCTCAGTTTTCTCATGCTTTCTTTTTGAAGTTGTTGTCCCATGGGATAGAGACATTTGCAGTCTCCTGCTTTTTGTCAGCCACCACTTTCTGTGTGGCTGGCCATCAGCTTCTTCTCTATCCTGAAAGTCCCACAGGGTCTTAGCCCTGCAGTTTTCAGCCAGCAGGTAATAGTAGACTTCTAAAACACATGCGCATAGATATTCTCGTACACTATCCCAGCCACTTGATAGGTCCTCTCAATGTATGTTGTCCCTTCTTGCATCTTAGATTCTGCCGCAGTGTGCTGGATAGTTCTAGGAAGCCTTTGCACAGTCTGCAGCTTGGCTTCTGTCAGCTGTGGTAGACCCCTGCCTCTATGGATCTGGTGCTTAGGGCCTATTCTTGTGATGCCATGAGCTGCCTCTGTGCTGTCCTTTAAGTCTCTAGCCACTGGTAGGATTTCTTGATGCCAGCCACTTCCTCCATCTGTTGATGGTACACCCCATGTAGGGGCTTGGTCTTGTATGATAGCTCCTCTTGTTCCTCATCACCAGCTGCCTTCAGCCAGCTGAAGACCTCATAGAGCAGCTTAACTTGGGGGCTCTCTGTCCGATGCATTAACGGAGGCTCCACGTTTCTTCCTGGATTGTGGCTCTGGCACTCATTAATCCTCTTTATTCCTCTCTCTGTTGCTCATAGAGCCTCAGGGTGATGGCCTTTGGGTGGAGAACTCATCAGTGGCATCTGTGGCCCTTTCATTATTATTATTATTATTATTATTATTATTAGTATTATTATTATCTGATGACTACCATTGAGCTGACCGTTCTGCCTCCTGGCAGCTCCACCTCTTCAGTCCAGATCACCTTTACTTTCTTTCTAACCATTCAGCCACACACTCACTCAGTCTGAATGACACCTTAATGTCTAGAGTCTCGGATTACTGCTGCACCAGTAGCTGGTGCTTTGACCCAGCTACTGGTCAACGTACCCGTTATTTCCAATGCTGTGCTCATGTGCGGACTCATGTGCCTATTCAGTTTGGTTACGGTGATGCTGCGCAGGATCTTTGCTTTTCCTTGAACTGCACTTTTCTGGACAAAGATGTCGGTTTTCATTCCTGGAATCTGCTTTTTCACTGCCCAGAGTGTTCAGATCATCAAAGTGACCACTGTTCCCCTCTCCTTGTACATCTTCTCTGGCTCTTCTCTCAGCCCTTGGTATTTCTCAAGCTTCTCGTGTTTCTTCATCCTGATGTTGCTATTGCTTGGTATTGCTACTGCTGGGTATTGCTACATCGATCACTATGGCCTTCTTACTCTACTTGTCTTCTACATTGTTGAAACAGTGGCTATAGTTTCTCGAAACATTACTGTTATTGACAGATATTATCTGTCAGAATAATAATATAGTGAATTTAGAATAGGGTTATATGCGCAACCATATTCTGAAATTTATGTTGCTCTTCATTAGCTTTCCATGACCCGTTTCTTGTATGTGTGCATTTTTCAGGAGGAGCGGACCATACGAGACCGAACACTCTTAGAAGTTAGAGATTCAGATCATCGCATCCCCTGGAAAGTCCGCTTTAACCTGGGGAACAGCAGCCGACAGATCACTCAGTGTAGAAATTCCATCCAGGGCAAGACACTGCTTACAGACGAACTTGGTGAGTAATAAATCTATTACTCACCACCATACAGTGATAACACATCGGATGTAGCCTGTAACCAGTGCTTATCATAATCTGCATTAATGTTTTACAGGATATGTCTGTGAGAGAAAAGACTTGCTCGTTAATGGCTGCTGTAACGTCAATGCTCCCAGCACCAGACAGTACATATGTAAAAGTTGCCTGGCCAATGGATGCTGTAGCATCTATGAGTATTGCGTGTCATGCTGTCTCCAGCCCGATAAGGTAATCTGTCACATCAAGGGCCTTCAGGATCATCGCGTTTAACTTTCATCGGAAAAGGCATATCTGCCCACATGCTGTGTACCTTTGCATGCACACATTTGAAACCAAAGATATCATTTAAAATTGCATATTGAGTTTGCATTTTAAGCAAAGCAGTGCATGCAATGGGAACAGATAATAAATCTAAGTGATTATAAATCTATACATGTTTTTGTACATGTTCAATTTCTTTTCTTTCTATTTTTGTTTAGCAACTTCTTCTTGAGCGCTTCCTGAATCGTGCAGCTGAAGGTTTCCAGAATCTTTTCACTGCTGTCGCGGATCATTTTGAGTTGTGTCTGGCCAAGTGTAGGACATCTTCACAAGTATGTTAAGTTCAACAGAAGAAACAAACATGAATTGTTAGATTTTCCAAACCAGTTTTAAAGTGTTGACCCATACAAATCATAATAACAATAACTGTAATCATTTGGAAACAAAGGAATAGTGAAATTAGTAGTCTGGCGGATATGCAGCAACACTTACCCTTATCTCTTGACATTCAAAGTCGATATTTTGCTCATACATTTATCTGTATATTTTTCAGACAGTTGTTGACAAAAGATACGCTTTTATTTGAACTTGATGCATCACTATGACACATAATGATTTTCTCATGAATTTCCTGAGACAGTTGGTTCATTTAGAAATTTGAAAAACTCCCCAAAATAAAAATAAATAAAAAACAGAAACAAAACTGATTCTCGGCTAATCTCATTGTAAATCACTGAATCTGCACAAGCTTTGAATATTTTCAGTACTGTGAAAGTATTGAGAAGAGCAATATAAGTGCTTTGTGAAAAAACTTTTTAGTTTGTCTCATTTCTATTTTTCCCCTTCTCCAGAGCGTTCAACATGAAAACACGTACCGAAACCCTCAAGCAAAGTACTGCTATGGTGAGAGTCCTCCAGAACTTCTGCCTGTATGAGCCTATTTGACTTGCTTCTGGTGTTTAGTAATCGAAGAGCAATGGAATAGCAATTGACAAATAAGGGTGTTTGTTGAAGAGATGGTGCATATGAAATGCTTGGACAATTTTGCAATATTGTGGCAAAGAGATGAAGGAAGACCAACCTCAAAAAGGACAAAACGCTGTATGCTTTTTTTTTTCTTCTTTTTTTAAATTATTTACACTTCATAAGTGCATAATACGCTTTATCCGTTCATCCGTGATGATCATCAGGTCTATTTAGCAGGCAGCTCATCCATCAACACTTGCTTCAAACAAGTCATAAAGTCATGTCATGAAATCAAACGAACCTTTCTGTTTTGTTCTGAACATTTTAAAATGGCAAAGAATGTGTCCTAACCTCTGTGTATAGTGCATGCAGATGAAATGCTTATTTAATAAAAGGGACTGTGAAACTGAATGAGTTTCTGCTTTTTTCTCTCTGAATGGTGACATGTAGATTTTGTAGTAGTGTGGTTTAAATGGCAGTTTAACTCTAGCAGGTTTTATTTAACTGAAATAACAGTGGTAGATAGCAATGTCATGCATTCAAATTTTATTAAGCTTGTGGGTCTAAAGCACCAGGAAGAAAATCAAACAAGACATTTTGAAATAACAGCTGTTTTTTTATTTATTTATTTTTTAAAAATTAATAGTTATGGTGAATAAATATAAGTTCCACAGAAAAGAAAGATAATGCAAGGAATTTCAGTATAAATAACAGTAAAAAAAAAAAATCAAAATTTGATTAAAAGTTCTTGAAAATATAGAAACATTTAATATAACTTGATTGTTTTTTATGTGGAGTCCAAACTAATAGCTCTCTGTAAGTTATTGCTATCTGTTTCTTTCTACCTCAGGCAATGTAGCCCCCACACATGGGATAGTTGGTCAGAGCAAAACAATTAATCAACGTGAAGGCTGAGGAAAACAAACTGTCATAATTAGGAGATGTATTAGAGCCATTTCTCATTTTCCTGGTTGGCAAGTTGATTAATTACTGCCACAAGGGAACATGTTGATTGCTTTGAGCTATCAGGTTTGGAACAAAGACATTTCCGATAACGCTTTTATGGTAGCAACATGACGTTTTGGTAAACGGAGATATTTGCTTTATTAGAATTTGTTGAGATGGTTGTTATCATTCACACCTGTGATATCAAATGTGAAGCGTCAAATAGCAGCCAGCTAGAAAAAGATCCAGCTGTTAGCGCAGCAGTACTGGGGTTTACATTTGTTAAGAGGTGCCGATTGGTGGATTTGGGTGATAGCAGACAAAAGCAGCGATTTTCACCTTTTTTTTGTCTGTCAGGTTTAAGCTTGGATAATTGCTTCCCCAGTTGTGCCTTACTTATGTTGTCGATTAGACATTTGCATGTACTTTCTCATTTAAAATAATAAGAACAGCTCAATTTTCCAAAATATCAAAGTACACCCTTCATAAATTTTATAAAAAAAAAACCCTCTTTGGCTGTTTTAACCATGTCGGTTGTTATGTTTGTACTGAAATATCAGATATATTATAGAGAGAGACACTGTAAAGATCCTTAATGCATAACAGCATACTGAATGCATGAAAAAGTAGCATTTAAAAGTCTTGGACGGGGGTGGGGGGGCTAAAGAAAAGCTGCCACAAACTATAACCGCATTTTCACCACAAACTCAGCTAAACTTGTTCATAATCAGAGCAGGTATCCACTCCCCTCCAGGTACTTATGAGGCTGGGTCTTTGTTACTTTACCTTTCCCCATTTTTGTTCCTTTAACATATGAAACAAACATTTGCTCCAGCCATACCAGGTAATCCCCGGCTGCCTTTAGCAGGGTATGACTCCACTGTTTCCTCTCAAATACTTGTTTAGGCATTTTAGGTGGTGATGGCTTTGAGGGACATGTACTTTTAAAGATGATGTTTATACAATTTGCAAGCATTTTAATCCTGGCAATGGTTTCCTCTAGCTTCTTGTGAAGTGAAACGTTTTGAGGATTCAGGTTGTTTTTCTGGTCCTCCAAGATGTCATTTAGACCTTCATGCATGAAGCGCAAGCTGCAATGAACTTTTGTCCAATTAGGAGGTAAGCTCTTCTGGACGTGGAGCTCAGGGAAGCCAGGTAACCACATACCAAGGTGTTTTCCATTGGCTTCATCCTAAAAGAAAAGACAAGAGTGAGGCGAGGAGATTTTGAAGACGTGTGTTGCTCATCCCATGAATACGCAGCTAATCTCTTAAACTGCCTCTGAAAGGTCATGCAAAGCATCTCAGCATGAATCTATACCACAGCAAAATAAGAAACTTAACACTAGATTTAATCAAACGATGTGTTTTTAAACCCATTATATACACAAAAAATCTGTGTCTCCTGAGATTATTCAGGCAATAGAAATAACAACTTTTTCTGTCCTCACAAAAATATTCCTCCAATCCCCTACAAGGACATGTCTTGTTTATTTTGTAAGAACCAGAAAAAAATACCCAGTTAGTTTAGTTAGTTAGTTTTCTGGCTGATGCGCTTTCATAGATAAAACTTGTTTAATCTACACCTGAGATGTAATTCTGTTAAAAAAAAAAAAAGCAGACATCTTAATAGCAACAAAGTGCAATTTAACTGAAACTGTTTCAAAGAATGACTACAGAATTGCTATGGTACTGGCACTAAAAGGGTCTTAATCTGGAGTAACACACTCTAGAAATGAAGGCTGTGACACAGCACTACTCAGCAGAGTTTTGGGAGCTGCACTGTTTTTGCGAAATTTAAGTGATAGAAAAATTCAGACTACCTCCCCACAGCTATTGCGTCATCCAAGCACGCTGGCAGATTGCAAATAGCGTCACAAAACCACTTCTCTGGGTTGCACTGGTGAGAAAATGAATAGTTTTAAAGTTACTTACAAAGCATCTCAAGCTTTCATTGACCAAGCTTTCGGTCAGGGCTGTCAGGTGTTTGGGACTGCACGATGCACCTGCAGCATGTTTCTTTGGTGCAAGTTGTGCATCCAAGCTGTGCATCAGAATCGCCATCCAGATACAAGCCAGTTTCAGAAAACCTGTAACCCAAGTGTACAATCACAACATTTTAAGTTTGGTGTACTTTCTCATACAAACTACTTCACATTGTTGCATGGTATACTGTACCTGCTCTATATTCTCCCATTGTAATTCTCCTCATAGTTTACTGTGACAAGGGCAGTAGGTGTGTGAAATATAATTTTGCCCTATCGCTTACTTAACCATATCCTCTGATGAAGAAAGTCAACCACTGAACCAATCAATTCAGTTTCTTCTGGCAGGTCACCACCTCTTCCACCAAAGGAAATTACTGATGATGATGATAAGTATTCTCTAGACTCTAGAACAGTTAGATTATAGAGTTGAAAACTAAAAAAAAGAAAAAAAAAGAAAAGAAAAACTGATATTAAAAGATAAATGGGTTAGTTTCTCTGCAAAAATTTTAAAAAGGAGACTAAGAAACTAGGTTGTAGATAGCAAGGGTATATTTTAAAAACTGGCTGCTATTTATCTTATATGAGCTACATAACATAAGTGAAATTGTAGTTTGTGTAAGTGTGAAATGCATGATTATTTCTTAGTTTTTAAATGAGCTTTCTTTAGCTTACGTAAGTAGTTTAGCAAGAATTCTGTGATGACATATGTACTCTATGAAATATTCTATAAATGAGTCATGCAGTACTGCGTAGATGCAGCTAACCACAGCCCAACAGTTTTGACTAGTTTCATGTCCTGACTAAAATTTTAACTCAACCCTGTTGGTTGATCTCACAAGCAAATCAGAGGGAGAAGAATTTGAAATGCAGCTCAATTCAAAACGCTGAAGTTGGATTAAAAGTAAAATTTTTGTATTTACAAAACACAAACGACTCTTTCCCAGCGTAAGTTAAAACAAAACAAAACAACAAGCTGATGAATCTGAATTTAATGTAGGTCGTAAGGTTTAGTTAAAGACTTTACAGAGGTGAGGTCATTGCTGCACTTTATATAAACCGCAGACACCTGCCTCTTGTATACAAAGCAGTTGCCATTTTCAAGAGATAAATATATAATAAAAACACTAAATAAGTTAAAAAAAGAACTGGCTGGAAAATAAATAAATAAATAGGTTACAGAAAATTAAGCTTCAAACAGAAAAACAAAACAAAACTAAAACTTGCAAGTTATGTAATACTCTCCACATACAGTATGCATTTCAGAAACATACAGAAACATCATATTTCAGTTGAAGGCATCAATTCACATAAACAATTTTCTGTTGGTATTACATAATCTCTGGGTACACATACACAACCCACAATTTCAGTAGAAGGTTGATTATTGCAGAAAAAGTTTACACAATTTGACAAGTTCCTCTGTTTTAAGAGCACACTGGTTTTACTCATCACTGTACCTTAAACAGGATGTGATAATAAATACACACACACCAGCACAGCACATATGCACACTCGAATAATATTAAGTTATAAATAAATGACAAATTAATGAATGAACCTTTCTGAAACACTGGAACAATTAAATAATAAAACATTTTAAGATATTGTTAACACTGCGACTGGTATTATATTAACCATAACAAAATAAATAAATATTCTCAAATATAAATAATTTTGCAAATTTAAGCTACATCATATTCACATTCAAAGAAATAGATAAATAAAAACAAGGTACCAGTAAATAATTAATATATGGCCAAAGAGACCATTCTGAAATGCACAACTTTGAATTCCCTGTCAAAACATCATCAAGGGTTAAAAAGGAAACCTTAACCGTGACAGGAATAGCAGAGAGGTGGTGGATCCCAGATAACAGAGATATTTTCTCAGTCTTATTAGTGACAGAGTGTCTGATTAACTACCGTCAGCACTTGTTTGGACCATTCCGTCAGTCTGACCGCAACACTCCATACATAAATTTTTTGTTTGTGGTGATCGGTTAACTCTCGGGGTGGGGTTGGGGGAGTGAAATCGAATGGTCCGAGCATAGTCTTTATCATAATGTTTAAATTTTCTAGTGTTTTTTCAACGTGCTCTGTTTTATTAAAAATTTCAACTGGGTACCTCAAAAGTTGTTGGTGATATTCTTTGGCTTGTAAAACGTGTAACTTAAAAAGCTCATTCTTGATATAGATGTTCTGCAGCTTCTCACAAGTGCTTTCACCAGATATCTGGGTGTCAGGAACTTCAGGTCGTATTGTCTCATTCCTTTTTCCATATTTTTTTATCTGTAGGTAAAAAAAAAACAGGTAGAATTCACCATAAAACTTGTAAAATTCTTATTCTCTATTCAAATAAGAACAGAACCACTTGATGCTTTGTGACACGTTCATACAAGTAATAAGAACAGTCATGAGTGAATAAATGTAACTAAATACACTTTGGAAAAAATAATGTGCCGTGTACGTCGTCAACTTGTCTATTTTTGTGCTCACAAACAGCAGATTCAAAGAGACATGACGGATTCATGTCATTCAGCATTACTAATTTAAGATTTATATTTATATACTTCCATAAGTTGCAACCCCAGCAGGTTCTTGCACTAGTAGTTTAGATTAAAAGCACACAAGTAAGACACTAGGCATTTACACTGAGGGGCCTTTGAGAGTACCGTTATGTATTGGCTACTTAAGCTCTTACTGACTACATCTGTTCATGCAAACATCCACTATACATCAGTGAGCATTTTAAACATTTTCGACAGACGCGTTTTAAATATTACATGAAGTAAACTCTAGAGTTTAAAACCATTTTAAACAGGCTTTCTCTGAGGACGACATGAGGTGAAAAATCAAGACTAAACTCTGGAAGATGATTGAGATTAAATATGACATATAAGATTTGGATCAATTTTGCAGCAGTTAGGTAAAGTCTACAGAATGTCCTGTGTATAGTTACAGCAATCATGCAAAGAGTATATGACAGCAGATTAACTAGATGGTACTTACAGATAAATTCAGTAGCTCAGTTGCTTCGAATTCGAATAACTTGGCAAGGTCATTGGTTCTCTTCAAATGATCACAGGAGTTATTAGATGGACAAATCGGAGCAGAAAACACAGGACTCCACTGAACTTCCAGGAAGATCAAGAGGATTGCTGAAGAAAAACAAAAACAAATGGAATTGGACAATGTTCTCTTAAACAAGAAATTGTAAAATTACCAAAATAATGCAACCAGATTAAACGAGTAGTATATGAGGCTTCCTGATGTAATAATGAAACTATGTAGTATCAGTTGTATTTGTTGATCAAATGGCCTAACCATGTCAAATTTGTGTTTGTTAAATAATAATAAAAATATATATTTACCATAGTGCAGGAGAGATCTATTGAGTTTAGAACCCATAGTAGCAGTACTAACTCTTATCCTCAGTGGTCCGTGATAAACCATACAAAACAGCAACATGCAACTTTGCTTTGGTAGGCCGGCTTAAATTACATTTTAGGTACACCCACATTCACCTCATACAAAGGAATTCCATGACAAATTTTTTTTTAACATCACTCACATTATGACATATTATTGGATCATATGATTTCATAAGAGGTGTGACCATGGTCAGATAGACCTCAGATAACTAAAATCCTCAAAATATATCAGAGCATGAAAAACATTCCATCTGCATGCGATGTGGCTTGCATTATATAGGCCAGGTTTTTAAACAGAAGTTGGATAACATGGATAACGCTCAACAATAAACCATTTGAAAGTTAACACAGGAAAAAGAAAATCCCATTTAATTAAAATAATATATTAAAACTTTGACAAAGACTCATTAGTACCCACTTCTGTTTAAAGGGGACACAAGTCAGAAAGGTAGGGAAATATTGTGTAAATAGGTTTGATAAAAAAATTTTTTTAATTTATGTCTTATTAAGGACATTAACTGCATCCAGTATATGTCAAGTAAAAAGAAAATCGTATTTGTCTCTTATGTTTTTCCGATATTACCTGCCCATCATGGTTTTATGTAACTTCCAACCTCAAATTTCCCTTTATGACTGAAGCTTTAAGACGTCACGCAGACGCCAACCTGTCAGACAAGAATAGACTTAGCCTGCTTTCGCAGAAAAGCATGGTGCTGTGTTTGCGGCTATGTTGCTGCTGGTGTTGCTTAATAAAATCTCTTACAGAGAAAAAGAAAAACCTTAAAGAAGAGGTGTAGAAGAAGCTCAAAAGCTGTCTTAAGCAAAATTGTTATGTTTCTTTTGTCGCATTTTCTTCAACTTTTCTTACAAAAACAGTAAAGTAGGTGTATAGTTCAGTCAGTGATTAACAAAAATGATCAGAGCAAACCTGCAACAGACTCTCTCTCGCTTTCTTTTTTTTTTTACCCTTTTGCTTGGAGATCTACAGATCAGCCTTCTTTTATTTCTTAAGGATCCATTCTGGGACCTCCACTTTGTCTTTTAAATGTCACCTTTGGACAACAATCAGTTTAATAAATATTATTGTTTATTCAAATACGCACAAGCTATGCTTTGGTTTCATCTTTGGAATTTAAACTCAGCGATGAGCATTTAAACACCAAATTCCTGCAGGTAAACAGTCAGGATTTTTGCCCAATAGTCTGTTCAATGTTGATTTGGGTTGAACTTAAGAAAATCTTCAACAAATGTGCTTAATAGGTAATTGCTCCTGTTACAGCCACAACAGGAATATCACTGATCTGAGCCCTACTGCACCTCCAGCTGGGAAGAACTTTTTAGTGTGTTGGTTTAGGTTTGTTAATACTCTTAAAATGAAAACCAAAAGAACACCACATTTCGCCTCTCAGCTGTCTCAACCGTTTCTTCAAAAAGAAACCCCCCTCCCATAAATAACTATTATCAAAGCTACTTAATACAGGCCCAGTTGCATCATGTAGGACAAATGACAGCAACATTTGTTGTCAGTACTTGTTGGAATGACTTACACCAAAGCCAACATGGAACTTATTTTAAAGAACTTTTATTAACTGAAGCAGCACAAAAAGAATTTTACTTCAAATTGTATAAAATGCATTTGTACCACCGAAAAACGATCTAAGTGATAATAGCTAGATACAAAGTTTATTGTGCAAAAAAAACAAAAAAACAAAAAATAAGACATAGTGTTATTGACCTCAGGTTAAGAAATGCTGACCCATTATTTATTTATTTATTTAAAAAAGGAGAAATGGTCGCCCCCTACAGAGAT